ACATGAATTAATTCAATCCAGTTGACGTCTATTTCTCAAATATTACGATCGGTTATATGTCTAACAAACTCCTATCAACTGTCACCAACGTTGATAATAATTTTGATGTCTTTGATTAAGTTAATCTTTAAACGATAGTAAATCTTAATTATTTTCGGTATAAGGTTGTGCAGATTGTTGAGTTTTAATTGAGATCATAAACCACCAATGAAAACCCATGTGCGCGATCGTAGCTGCCCACTGCTGAAGAGTCCCATACTAGGGCGAAACGGCCGTACAGTGCTTCCAGGTTTTCAATGGTGGCCTAATATTAACCAGTTTGTGATCTCAATCAAATAAATTTCTGCGCTTTCAATCAATCAACTGAGTGATTCATCCATTGTTATTTATGATAAAACTACGTTATATACATACTTACAACTACTAGCTAACTAGTAATGCGTTATCCAGTTACTCCTCATATATGTGATTGCTAAGTACATATTGCTAAATTGTGTTAACAGTTCTTGTTTTCCAATGTTCTGATCAACGATAATAAAATTTTCAGTAAAACTCAAGATTATCAATAATATCCGTGAGAAATTCATTTGCTAGTTTTGCGGAGATAAAGCAGCAAGGATTGGACCTGGATGTGAACTCATCGCTATTCCATCAATCTATCTATATTATGTTATTGCAGTTGTTATTAATATTGGAATTTCAGAGATTAGTCTCAAATAATTACTCTTGAAATGCACAACCAACGTTCATTTTGTCTTTAACGACAAATATTATAGCAAAATTATAGCAATGGGTTAATCTGTAGGTCATATCGTTGCTGATTTTTCTCACATTACTAATAATGACTTCATAAACATATACATGAGTCTTTTATGATAATAAGTATCATCATTATTCTTCTCCAATTCACAGTACATGCACTCATAATATTCTAAATAAATAATTCTTATTTTAATGCCAAAACTTGTTGTGTAATTACAGACAATAGGTATTTGCTTGAATAGTACCTCCAAACAACCAAAGTTTTACAGTGAAGTTTGTGAAAATCATTTTAGATTGAAGTCGATCATTTGCATCAACTGAAGTCAGTCAAGGTAACACAAAATATCAGAAGGCATTAGACAGTTTTTTTTTCTAGTATAGGGCTCCTCGTCAATGTTTACCTACAGTGCCAGTAGGGATCGAAATTGGAAAATTCTGACGAGACAGTTAACTACTGATAAATTAGTTCTGCAGGTCATTGTTTTCTATACTGTGAGATCTTGAAAACATCAATGCTCACCAGTGAAATGTTTATCATCATCTAGTGCCGTAAAACTCTATGCCTAAGAAATGAATTAAAAAAAGTTATGGTTTTAGTATATGTAAAACGAAGAATAATACACTATACAAAAAATGTATATGAAAAATTACTTCAATATAATTTGTATCGTGTAATTTGTTTGAAATAGAAATGTTTTCAAATTCAATTCGTTATGACATAAATTTTAATATTTACTAGAAATATTATGACGAATAAGAAAATGAAAGTATAAAAACACATGAAAACTGAGTACATATCTTCTGTAGGATTATTCGTATCTATCAACTACTGACTTTAATATTAGTATACATATTGTTTATTATCAGAAGGGGATTTTGTTAACATTGTAGTAATTTCAGTCAGTCAGTAACAACGTAGAACTTCGTACGTACGTACGTACATCAGTTCGAGTTGCCACACCACATTAGCACAGAGATGCAGTTGTCGATTCAAATCCCGTAGTGGTAGAGGTAATAAGAGTATAAGCAGTAATCGGGAAGATTAGGGTTTGGAGATGTTATTTAAAGAGTATAATCCAGTGAAATAAATTTGGAAAGAGAAAAAAGAAAGGGACATGAAGAATTCAGAAGATTAGAATTTGGGAGAACACAAAGAGTGGATGCACCTGCGCCATTGCAAACGATTTTGAGCCATGTCATTCAGGGTCTCTAACCATCGGTTGCTATCACCTCGTGGTCCCCAACCAGGTAGTTTACACCTACCAACATGACTCAGTCAACTTGTCAGTGACTTCATGGACTTGTGCCATGTATTGGTTTGGCCGCCCCTAACTTTCTTCCAACCTACTCCTATACCACTGAACATCGCACGTTGGGGTAGTCGGTCGTTGGGCATACGTAACACGTATGGATCAGTGAGTTAGCAAGCGAGAGTATACTTGTCTAGGTTGAACAAGAATGGAGAGAGTGGACAGCCCTGACGAACACCAATTGAGGTAGTCAATTCTGATGACAGTTCGCCATAAGCTCTCACCCTACCAGTTGTGTTCGAGTAGAGAGCCTTCATAAGGTTAATGTACTTCTTTGGTACTCCTTTCAGTGACAAACACTGCCACAAAACATCACGATCAACAGAGTCGAATGCTGCCTTAAGGTCGAGAAATACTATGATTGTGTGGCGTTTGAACGTGTGTCTATGTCCTAGAACCTGACGTAGTGTGAATATCTGGTCTTTACAACCACGTCCAGGTCGAAAACCAGCCTAATTTTCTCTAGTCTGCTCTTCACGAGCTTTAGTTAGGCGTCGAAGTATTTAATAGTTAAAATCATAAGTCGATTGAAACTAGACCACTATGTAAAACCTGGAAGCACTAGATGGCTGTTTCGTCCTAGTATAGGACTCATCAAAAGTGAGCATCCACAATCCCGTTCACAAGATTCAAATCCAAAATCTTCAGTCACACACACGAACGCTTCTAATGCTTTCAGATTTTCCAAGGTGTTCTAACTTCAATCGACTCATCTTTTGTTTATATTCAATAAACTAATCACATACAATTTGTCAAAATTAATTCACGTGTATTTTATCATTGAAAAGATACAAATCAAAAAACAACCGTTAATCAGTCATAATAATAAGAAGAGATTTTTGTATTTATAAACATTTCATTGATAATTATTTACATCCATTGTAAGTAATTTGATTATGAGGAAAAATAAAAAGTAAATAAACCAATAAACTAAGATGAGAAGTGTAAATCATTTTTAATTCAAGTTTAATTATTAATAAACTAATCAAAATGTCTTTTTCTTATTATTATGTGTTTGTATATTAACGAGAACTTTAATGTGATCATTTTGCATATTTATTGTAAAAGAAAAAATAATTATACCGAAATAAAAATAAAAGAATAATTCACTAATTAAAGTAGTTCTCTAGAGGATTGTAAATGTTTTAATCGATTTTCTTCATGAGAACAAATAAATTAATTAAATTTGTATGAAAGGAAAAAAACTGAATATATATATATATATATATATATATATATATATATATATATATATATGGGTAGCTGTATGTACAATAAAGTTCGTTTAGTCACAATGATAATAATAATACTGTTTCATTCTAGGATGAGACTCTTCAGAATTGAAGACTAATTGCATAACAAGGAATCGAACCTAGGGCTTATAGGTTTGAAATATAATGATAAGCATTTCCTATGTTAACCGTTCTGCTGTCTAATACGATGTCATTGGTGACGACTGTTTCACTTCCGAGATGGTTAAACTCTATTGATAACGACTTGCCATTAGAATTTCAGACAATCATCTTCAATTAATTCACCGTAAATTTTAAGATTATAGTTTTGATGTAAGGCAAATGCCAAGAATATTTTAATTTGTCGGTGATATTTGTCACAGATTTGGCCGCAGTCAGGAACCAGAGGGTACATGACACGCAATTCGTCCTATTTAAACACTCCTTATTCATATATTCCCTTCTTTTGCATTACACAACCTTTAGTGATTGTTTTGACCTATTCCAAGTGTTGTACCATTGATTTATTTTGCTATGGTGCCTTTATTAAATTTTTCATTATGATTAATACATAGGCTATAATGCTACTAAAATGTAATCTATACTACTGATATAAATCACTAATGTATTGTCTTGGTGCATATATCTATCCTAAGAGTTATGATAGAAGTAAGCGTTTTAAGGGCAGCTGATAGCATATTGTTAGATCTATGATTATTACGTAAATTACAGTATTTCTGATGGTGAGTACAACAGTCTTTATTATAGGGCAATGATGGTTTGTCTTCAGCTCTGCACATATTTTAAAAGGATGGGAAGCATACAGATTTTATGGAAAACAGAAACTCATCAACTTTGGAAAGATACCTAGAATATTTAACTAACCCCTTGAAATTTGGTGAGGATTATCATTATTATCCTTAAAATTGGGCCTCTATTGATACAGGAACATATCCCAGCAAAAAGCTATATTAAATACTTAATCAACACTGATGGATGTGACGTCACATATGAATATTATTCACAACCGAACATGAATGATTATACTAGATGAAATTTTTCGGATATCAGCGAGCAGAAGTCAACTTGTTTGGAGGATATATGGAATAGCATCTACCAAATGAACTTCATCCCACTGATGTTTCACGTCACAAAAAGAACGTTCAATTAAAAGCTTATGGATTGACCAATAATGTTTGTAAAATATTTGCAAGCAAATTGTAATATATAAGTACTTGTTAGTAAATGTAGTAGAAATGAATACGACAGCCTAGATAAGAAATCTGTCAGCAAAATTTTGACTATACATCTTGGATACCTACTAAAACATATTCTATGTCCTAATCGTTCAATTTTTTCTACCCCTGACTCATTATTATGTATCCATCCCTTTCGTGTTACTATTAATCGTGTACCGTTTTACACTCAACGATTAAAGTCGATTTCTTGGGCAGCTAAAATGGATCTGTACTTCACATAGAATGATGACTATTTCACGTCAATCATCAATAGATTACATCACTATGCTATTATTACCTTTACTTTCCACGCCAAAGTTTTAAGCGTCTGAGCTAAATTCATCATAACATATTCCAACAAAATGGGTAATATTCTAGTTAGATTTAGATTTAAATAGTAGAATTGAAACTTAACAATTATGCAGTGGGATCTGTATATATTTGAGTTTGAATATTCCCGTAATATTTTCAGTCGCCATACTATATACGTGTGATAGCTCTAAGTCAATGGTACAATGAGCAGTAGTTAGGTAATCAGTTAGATAAGTTTATATATGGTCAACTATAATCAAAACTTTTAGAAATTTTGTAGTAATGTTTGTAAATAACTAGTCATTATAGGATTCATGCAAACTAATTGTAATTAATACTAGCCAAGGAGAATAGACACAACAGTTTAATAAACATTCCCAAAGGCACGTTTTAACAAAGGAAAAAAGTTAGACAACACAATTAATCACATTTCTATTTAGTATCATATGTAAGTTCATAATTGTAAGCCATATTTTAATTCGGGATTAAATAAAAGGGCAATTCAGTGGGTAATAATAATATTTAAACCATAACACGATTTCAAATTCAGTTGTAACATTTTTATCTTGGTAACAGTAAGAGTGATGGATAAGAAAATAAGAAAGAAGAACCTGGGGGAATTTTCATCATTAAAACAGTTTATCACCAAAAAAGGAAAAACAGTGTAGAAAAAAATCGAGACTACATTTTTTGAAGCAAACCAACCCAGAGTTTTGCGAAATGTAAACTTTGTAGCGCGGGGACGGTGCGAGAATACATTAACGGCAGCTAATTATTCACAAGAAACAGTAAATAAATAAACGAATTCAAATAAAAAGGGTATATCTTAGATAATAAAACGACACAAATGGAGGAAAACATGAGAACTAAGAAAACGAAAATAAACAAATACAAATCATCACCGGCAACAATAACACGCTGATAGTAAGTACGCATAAGCCTATGAAGAAAAAGAGCTTGTCTAATATACTACAATCCAAGGAATTAAGAGACTATAAGTTCTAAACAAGAATAAATGCATCATAGTACAAAATTTATCCATCTTTTATTTATTGATTCTAAATGAAAATAACTCTTAACATAAAGCAGAACAAAACAAGGCAGTAATGAAATCTATACACAGAAAATAACTATAACTGGTTAAAGTGTACAAATGAATGTAATTGTTAAGTGATTTGCCTGAAATAATTAACTCTTGCACAATTTATGGATAGTGTTAAACAATGGAACAGTACAAGTCAGAATGGCCTAAAGTAAAATAAAAATGAATAGTAATAATAATAATAATAATCGGATTGTGTAGAAGGAGGAAAATAAATTCATAACAAAACATTCTGATTTAATCCAAACCAACTAACCAACCAGTTTATAAACAAACTGAATTCTATTTCATTGAATGATAATAATGGATTTATGTTCCATTAGAAAAAAAGACTATAAAACATTACCTACAAATTATTATAAATAGATTAATAAAGTAGTGGAGTTTAAAACTAATTTTACCTAGTGTATATGTGTAGAAAGATATTTTTCTTTAGGTTAATGGATCTTTATATTTAGAAATACTGTCTGCATATATATCATTTGTACTGATAGCTGTTGAATGAGCAGACAAATCAGCCGGTTTATTCGGTGATGTGTTATTATTATTATTATTATTATCATTAATTTGTGCATCATTCGGATGATAATGATAATAATGATGATGATAATAATAATGATGCGCAGATCGACTAGTTTCATCACCAGCAAATTCTGTAGTTAATGTGTTATATGAACGAAGTGTATCTAAACAATCAGTTGCAGTTTGACTTGGAGCAGAAGAAAGTTGAGAAAAATTACCAACATCAACATTAGTAGTAGTAGTAGTAGCACAAGAAGGGCGGAAAATTGCAGTTGTTGAACCATATGGAACAGAAACATCACCAACTATTTTAGAACTTGGTAAAAATGAATTAATATTTGGATGCATTGTATTTTGATGATAATAATGATGAAATTTATCATTGCTTGATGTTTGAATAGTTTGTACATTATCTAAACATCGTTTAATTTCAATAAGGATTTGAATAATTTGCACAGGATTCCATTCTGTATTTGTAGACATAAAAGATTTTTCAAAAGGGTTTTGCTCTGAAATTTTATAATTACTGTATGATCGAGTGATGGCATCTTGTTGTAAATGAGCTATGAGCTTTTCATAAAATAAACAATAAAGAGAAAGTTAACAGAAACGTTAAGGAGTATATTCATGACAAGAAATTAATCAGTATCTACTAACTAATACTTACGCCTGTTACCTCTCATTGAGTATAGGTCGCCGACCAGAACTCTCCAAATTACTCTTTCCTGAACTCTTCTTCCCAGTTCTTTCCAAATGCTATTCATCCTTTTGATGTCTGTCTACAATTCATGGGCAATGCGTTCTTTAGCCTTTCCCTTCTCCTTTTTTATTCAAGATTTGAAGTTAGGAATCGCTTAGTGACGCAGTTTGATGATTTCCATAAAGTGTGACCTATCTACTTCCAGAGACGTTCCTAATTTACTTCTCAGCTGGTAGTTCGTTTGTTCTCTGTCATAGTAGGTTATAGCTGGAATTGTCCGGTCAACATATCTCAAGTATCTTGCATAGACAACTGCTTATAAGTAAATAAACTTTTTTGATGATGATTGTAGTAGTTCTTCGAGTCTCAGCTCCGTACAATGGAACTGTCTTAAAGTTTGCATTGAAAATTCTGAATTTGGTGTCGACTGACGACTATTCTTAAATTGTAGATATGTTGCCCCTGCTTTGCCAATCTGTGCCTTCACATCTGTGTCAGATCGTCCCCATTTATATATGATACTGGCCGGTTGCACGAAACTTCCACCTCAGAGCTTCTCCAACAACCGTGATTTGGTTTGAGCACGCTGTGTTGTATTTCAAGATCTTGCTTTTTCGCTTGTGTATTTTGAGACCTACTGATGCAGAGGCTGTTGATACACTGGTTGTCTTCAACTGCATTTATTGGTGTGTATGGGCTATAAAAGCTAGGTCATGTGTAATGTCCAAATAGTTTAGCCACACTCAAACTGTCTACTATAGTCCATGTTTTCCCTGAGAATTAAAGGTCTTTATAATCCAGTCAACCACCAGAAGAAAGAGAAGAAGTAGGAGTAACCAACATTGAAATGCACCTGTCAGCTTTCTACCATGAACGACTTTACAGTGTAGTTCTTTGTACGAATTCCATATGATATTGACGATCTTCTCACATGCATTATAGTGTCGAAGAAGGTTTCATAGGGTTCTCTTATCCACGCTCCTAAACGCTCTCTGATAGTCAAGGAAGTTGATGTATAGTGATGAGTTCCATGCAATCAATTGTCCAATGATGATTCATAGTTTGGCGATTTGGCCGGTACATGATTGATCCCTACCAAATTCAGCCTGTTGATCTCGAAGCTAAATGTCTACTGAATGTTCTACTCCGTTCAGCAAGAATGTGTTGATTAAAAGATCTCGATGTATTAAATGACTATTTCAGATAATTAATAGCCTAAAATAATGATCATTATTTTGATAGAGGTGTTTTGTAAAAATTAGATAAATTTGTTTAGAAATTAAGACAAAACAGTCACTACGTCGCTCCTAATTATCAATGATACTTTAACCAACGTCAATCTGCGATCAATACCATCTTTGATGTTTACTGCAATGATAAGTTTGTAACATCTGATTTTCATATTCTTAATCCTTGATGACCAATAAAAACAATGTAAGTAGCTACAATGATTACCATAGTTATATGATTTGATGCAATAACCTAGTCCCAAAATCAGTGAAATGCTTAAACTCACAATTATAAATATATTCTGCAGGAAAGTAATTTTATATTGATTTTCAAGAGAGTCAGATATCATACAGGCTCCTTACAATAAAAATATCAAAGTTCATTTGTGTGGAGCAACTATACAGGTAACAAAAACCCTGTTGGACAAGAGTTGTTTTATTATTGTTCGATTACATTGAAATAGTTTTAAATGATGGAAGATTTAAGATGACCGGTCAACTAACTGAAATCTCTAAATGATCGTCTAACCTACCCAAAACGAAGTCAATGAGATAGCAAAATTTGATGACTCTTAAGTCTACATAAATAATTATTTTGTGTCTATGTGTAAAGGTGTTCGGTTATGTATACACTAGTTCTTTTCATATAATATATATTCAGATTTCAAATGATTAAATACATACTGTTACTAAATGTTACATGGCGTTAGTCAATCAGTTAAGAATCCACTATCCATTTAATTTTAGCCATTATGTAATACAGACAATTAAAGCATGCAAAAACAATAATTTTCACAGTTGAATTCATGAGTCAATCTTAACTAGACCGCTGTTGAAAACCTTAAATCACCGGACGGCCGTCTCGTCCTAATATTCAACTCCTCAGTAGTGAGCGTCACGGTCCTCACACAAGACTCGAACCCAGCACCTACGGTCTCGTACGAGAACACTTAACCTCTATACCACTGAGCTGGCATCCAATCGTGTAAATGTTTCACTTCAATCGATCCATGATCGTGCGCAACCCTTCATCCATTATCTGAGGTGAATAAATGTCTCACACTCGACACATATTGAACTACACTCGCTACGGCTTCTCATTAGAGCTCCAGGAATTCCATCTTGAAGCTAGTCACTAGTGAGCGCACGATTATTATGAGTATTGGAATTTTGGGAGATTGTAGTGTTTTCACAGTTGATTTTATGAGTCAAGATTATGGATCGATTGAAGTTAGACATTAACACCGTTGGATGCTAGCTCAGTGGTTTAGATGTTAAGCGTTCTCGTACGAGCCCGAAGATCGTGGGTTCGACTTCTTTGTGCATGATGGCGGATGATCACTGCTAAGAAGTCCCATACTAGAACAAAACGGACATCCAATGCTTTTAGGTTTTTAACGCTGGCCTAGCTTACATCGACTAGTGAATTCAGCTGTGAAAATACTAAAATCTCCACAAATCTCCATATTGATAAAACAATAATTCCCAGTAATAAATTGATAATAAATCATTCTTTTAACTTTTATAACAATTATGGTGCAAATAAAACATAATTTTTTTTATAAAACAATATAAACGTATGGTAAAAGTTACTTCTGAAGTTCTATTCATACTAATTACAAATTATTCATTCATTTCTTCAACACAAATGATGTATGTAACATTAAAATGTAGTAATTTTTTAATTAGAAATTACTATTTTTACTATTAAGAATTTAATAAATTCTACTCACCACATCTTGATAATTTCTAACATATTTTGTGTACAATTCAAAAACTGCCCAAGAAACATTGAAATCTGTAGAATGATTCTGAGAATGTTGTCGTAGCAGATTATTCATTGTTTCTTGTTCAACTGTAGGTAAAGCTTTAATTTCACGATAGTAATTATGCACTCTATCCCATTGTTGCTAAATGGAAAAGAGAGAAAAAAATAAATGATAGTTTACAATTGAGTTTCATAATTTAATACTGAGATAAATTCTATTTAAGAATATAGACAGATTAATCGAAAAAATAATAACATTTCTAAAGAGTGAAAAAGAGAAGTAACTCTAAATGTTAATCGTAAAAACCAATTACCTTTAAGAGACTCCTTACAGATATATCCATAATAAATTAAGGTTAGTCAGTCAGCAAGTACACAAAACAAGCTTCCCAATTTAATATTAATCAACTAATTCATTGTAATCTGATGTATTAACAGGCAAATAAAACATTAGGTACTGAATTATTAACTTGTACAATTTTGTTAATTACAGTGAGAGTTCTTCAAGTTTTGTAATGAGTAAAGTTTGTGTTTTAGTATAAAAATACTAAAATTGTGTTACATATATTGAACGTATAAAACAGAAGACCCTATAATCGCAGACTATCAAGAGATTTTCATCTACGTTTTGTACAGTCTGTTTATATTTCTTCTGATTGATTCATTTAAAGATTTAAGGAAGATTGTAAGCAAACTGAGAACGAAGTTTTATCGCCATAATTTACACTTCATTATCTCACCTTTCCACATTTTCTTCAATATTTACCCCTATAATTTAATTTTAACATATTAATTAAACATTATTACAAACGGATTTCTTTTTCAGTAAATTAAATATTTACTTGTATGTTGTGTGGGACTAATAACAAACTCATGAATAAAAGTACGTTCACAAAACCATAACTATTACCAGAAGCAGTGAAAAATATCAAATACAAAACTTGAAACATTACGCCTTTTAGAAATGGGTTGTTTCATCAAGCAATGATTTGCACTAAAGAACCATGGAGGGCCAGGTAGAATTTTGGCGACAGTGTGCAACGCCTTGGGGTAGTGTCCAGCCGCAAAAAACCTGCTAATTCAATCTCATGCTTTTCCTATTTATATAGGGTTCAGTTTTGTAACACATCACATCCAGAAATTAATTATCATGTTGCTGATCAAAAGAATGAATTATAATTGAAAAAGCTAAAGTTATCAATGAACATTAATGTCATAGCAAAAAGAAGGTCATACTTATATAAGACATGCAATATTTATACTTAAAAAGCTTGTCTCATTTTTTCGCGTACAAATCAATACTTATCATAAAATTTATCTTAGACTTACAGAAATATCTGGAGCAAAAAGCAGTTTTACACAAGACGAATCCTTAGTTATTTTTTCTTTATTTGGTGCACATGCATAGGTCATAGCATGACTGAATGCATGAAACGAACGTTCTAATGCAGTATTACGTAATAAGGGAACATCAAATATATAATCCAAATTGGTAATAAATTGATTCCAGAAACGCATCTGTATACTAGACGAGGAAAAGAGTAAATTAATTAGTATAATAAATCCAAAAATGGACTGAGTGTTCAATGATATTACTAGAAAACAAAAAGTAACTTTATGTGTTCGTAAGTTTCCGAAATCCAGTTGGGATTTGTATAATTTGAACCAACCAAGAATTACTTACACAATATTACTATACTCCAGGTTTCAACGAATAAAATTACTAGACTGATTCAGAAACGGTTACGATACTTCATTTCAACAAGAAAACAGAAGCTTAGTTCGATTTGAAAACAAACGTAAATTACAGGCTAAGACCAGTAAATGAAAAAGTAATTAACACAAAAATTACTTAACAACCTGAACTTCATCAAATGAAAGAGAAAAACGTGAAAAGGAATGTATCCAATATTTTAGGGTAACAAGGTGATTATTATCAGATATTTTCTGGGGGGAAAATCAACTATTTTAAAGATGATTCAGGATAACAACTAGGATGTGTTGAGGTCCCATTCATATATATATGATAATAAGTAAAACTACCACAATCGCTGAATGGATATAACAAGCATATATGACTCTTAAGAATTTACACTAAGCTGGATATACTATATTAAATAACAATAAATAGGTTCATTAAATAATGAGTTATTATCCGAAGAGAGAAATGCAGCCAAACTGAAACCCTAATGAATTATATAAACACTTAAAGAAGAGATGGTTATACCAAGGAATGTGAAAAATTACTTGCGAATAAATCTGATCATTGATCATTGAACTTCTACCGGGAGGTTCACTTGTTGACTTAGAATATGCAGATGACATAGTTTTATTTGGTGAAGACGCTGACAAAATGCAGAGTCTTCTTATCAGCACATAAGCAACAATGCAAGTATGTTCGGGATGCGATTCTCCCCCTCGAAATGCAAAATGTTGCTTCAGGATTGGGTTACATCGACACCCGAACTAGTGATAGGGAGTGAAGTAGTTGAGCGTCTTGGCCGCTTCACTTATCTTGGAAGTCTGATCAGCCCTTGTGGTCTGGTGTGTGACAAAATCTCAGCACGGATGCAGAAGGCTCGACTAGCTTTCACCAACTTGCGTCATTTATGGCGTAGGCGAGATATCCGTCTATCAACCAAAGGACGGGTTTACTGTGCAGCAGTTCGTCCTGTCCTTCTTTATGGCAGTGAAACATGGCCGGTAAGAGTAGAGGATATTCGTAGGTTACTAGTATTCGATCATAGGTGTCTTCGAAACATTGCTCGTATATCCTGGGACCATCGAGTAAGTAATGCAGTTGTTAGAGAACGGGTGCTAGGTAAGGATGGCAAATCAATTGACCAAGTGGTGAAACTTCATCAGTTGAGATGGCTGGGACACGTGTTACGTATGCCCAACGACCGACTACCTCGACGTGCTATGTTCAGTGGTATAGAAGTAGGTTGGAAGAAAGCTAGGTGCGGCCAGACCAAAACATGGCACAAGTTCATGAAATCACTGACAAGTGGACTGAGTCATGTTAGTAGGTGTAAACTACCTGGTTGGGGACCACGAGATGAAAGCAACCGATGGTTAGGGACCCTGAATGACATGGCTCAAAATCGTTTGCAATGGCGCAGGTGCATCCACTCTTTGTGTTCTCCCAAATTCTAATCTTCTGAATTCTTCATGTCCCTTTCTTTTTTCTCTTTCCAAATTTATTTCACTGGATTATACTCTTTAAATAACATCTCCAAACCCTAATCTTCCCGATTACTGCTTATACTCTTATTACCTCTACCACTACGGGATTTGAATCGACAACTGCATCTCTGTGCTAATGTGGTGTGGCAACTCGAACTGATGTACGTACGTACGTACGTACGAAGTTCTACGTTGTTACTGACTGACTGACTGACTGACTGACTGACTGACTGACTGACTGACTGACTGACTGACTGACTGACTGACTGACTGACTGACTGACTGACTGACTGACTGACTGACTGACTGACTGACTGATCATTGAATCAAAAAGTTTAGGATTGTAGTATGAAACGACAAACCAGAGTTGTAAAAATAATTTGTTGGCATATACTTTAGAATGACATTACATACAGTACCCATCTATACACAGCATTAGTTATGCAAGATTTTAACTCATGAATACATGGTATTCCATGAATTAGAGATGAGTTTTCAACTTGTAAATGATAATAAAAAACATTTAAAATGAAATAACATTTTTATAAAATTTGGCAATTGCGAGTAAGTAAGTGTAAAAATTATATTTGAAATAATCTCAGTGATTGAAAGTTACATACTTCCAGCATTTCAACTCAACCAACTGATTTGAACTGCTTCACATAAGTGATCAAACTCACTGAGATTACATTAAATACAATTTTTACATATAGTGTTTTCTAAATAGTTGACGCTCAATTCCTGCCAAACTGTTCATTTTATTGAATGTTTATATGAAGTTAAAAATTTTAATGTTACATTCAGTTGTTTACATAATGCATACAAACAGATGACTATTAATTATTAAAAGTAGTATTAGGAACAGTATTTACGATATTTTGATTTGTATAGTTCATAAACATGTTAAATGAGCTCTTTATAGAAATACTATCACTGTAAGTTATACCGGTTAAAACAATGCCAATAATAATAATAATAATAATAATAATAATAATAATAATAATAATAATAATAATAATAATAATAATCACTAACCAGTTAGATTTCCAAGCATGAATTATTTTCGAATCGTGTACGCCTAGTTTAATTGCTTTATCATCCAAAAAATCAAAAAGATATTTAATTGGAGCTGGTAAACTATGCGACTGTACAACGCTGCTGAACATGACTTCGAATAATTTATCCATATATTTTGTGACAGATAACTTGATATTAGACAAAATCCAAGAAAGAGTGAAAGACAGATTAGATGAACAGTGCAGATGTGATTAAATATATTTATAATACGACTAAAAATTAAAGTTTTAAATTATAAATGATTAGAAACGGAGTTGTGTACAGATATATTTCCATACATTACTTTTTTAAAGAAGATTTACGTAAAAATTTCAATCTGGATTAACAACAGTTTACAACTATGCTAGTGAGAAATTATTTTAATATATCATTACTAATAGTTAATTCAATGTGAAATGGTTTGGATTATCACAATATTGATATTTTTGACTGAAATTTGATCAGTATTGGTTGACATATACATATTCTGTACAGATTGTCTCGATGTATCTATTATGATACAAGCTGATTTAATCCAAACCATTTCAAATTGAATTGATTCTCATACCCATTGCCTTACTACTTCCTATTTGCCAAAGAAGAGGAAATTGAGATTGTTCGATTAAGTTCATAAATATACTGGAGGCATAAAAATTATTTGCATTAAAATGAAACGATTCAATAAAATAGGAATGAATAGATCAAACAGGTATACCGACATGATCGAATTCATGGTCAGTAACAACAGTCGCGGGTCAATTCAAGAGTATCAAAACATCGGACGAAAATACAATTGGAAATATATCAATCTATTGATTTGAACACATAGGCACTGGTTCAAAAAGGGGCACCAAAATATGTATGCGCCACACGATAAAAATGAATTTGTGAAGAGATAGAGAAGGAAGGTGAACACACTAAAGAAAAAGACGGATAGAACTCTATGTGAGTGAATAATAATGAAGTGATGATAATAAAAATAATAGAAGGAGCAGTTCATTTAGGAAAAATACAATCAGAAAGGATTTTTTTCAGTTAAAGAAGTTACTCTCACTTTTATAAACAAAGTCAAAAAAGGTTACAGAGAGATCACCACTGGTTTATACTTTGAGTTATGTCTGGTAACGTCTCAAGACACTGTGTTACACCACCTCTAAGACTCCAACCACAGAATTGTGAACGACCAACAGAGGTCAGTTCTGTACAGCTTACCGTCATACAAACATATCATATCATACACTGACCAACTCTCCGCTTTTCCAACCAGTTCTAGCGTCTGTAAATAAAGCACGATGTGGAATTCTCTGGAACGACATTCGTATTATATGTACAACACACCGAAGTCGGTGTTTTGAAACGGTGTCACCAAATGAATTATTATCGCTTTGGCCGAACACATCTTGTCGAACCTCGGGATTAGTAACATAGTATTGTAATTTAATGTCAGCAATCCTTTCGAGACAACGATGATCAAACACAGAGAGTTGTCTGGCATTCTCAGCTAAGAGAAGCAGGTTTCACAAGCATGGAGCGAAACTACTCTCACCGATGCGTTGTAGATCTGACCGTTTTCAACCGGAGTAACATCACGAAGGAGCCAAAGATAGCCCAGATTGACATAAGCCATTCTGGCTTTCACTATGCATGAATTGATCTCATCACACACGCCACCATCAACACTTAAACAGGTACTCAGACACACGGACTCTTCGACTACTCCCATCTTCTGGCTACTACGAGTGAGTGGAAGCACAAGATCTTTCCAGTCTTATAAAATTAGTTCTTACTTAGAAGGTGCAAAGCACATGTCATACCTACGGACACTAATTGTCAACTATTTGAATAGGTATTGCATGGCTTGGGTATTGCACAGTAAGACAATATCATCCGCATACTCAAGGTCGAAATGTTTTTCTCCAGGCAACAGATCCATACTGCCATTAACTACATCCATCAGAGCTTTCTCCAAAAGGTCATCGATATCAAAGTTGAAGAGGAACGGTGAGATTGGGCAACTCTACCTAACCTCACTGTGTGAACGGAACAATGGAGAGAGGAGGTTGTATGTCCTCACTCTGTCGGAGGTGTTTGTATATAGGGCTTTTAAGATGTCAATAGACTTCTCAGACACACCCTTCTGCAATAGACAATCCCAGAGAACAATCCTATCCAACGAATTGAAGGCAGCCCTGATGTCAAGAAACACTACGATTGTTGACCTTTGATAAGTATGACAGTGCTCTAATGTTTGGTGGAGGGTGAAGATGTGATCAATGCATCCTCGAACAGAACGAAAACCAGACTGCTTCTCGCTAGTCAGTCTTTCTCAGGTTTTGAACAATCTACGAAGTATGACGGAAGCCAATAATTTGGACGCAATCGGAAGTAGACTTATCTCTCGATAGTTATTACATAGACCCTTCAAAAAGGGTAGTAGGTAGGTCATCTGGGCCTTTGACTTGTAGAGCTTCAAGAGTTGGAGTTCTTTGTGGACTTTCGCCTCATTCAGTGAATCAGTCGACACAGGACTCGGAGGGCAGGACATTTTGGCAAATGTTTCCAGGGCAGCAGATCAGTTGAACTGCTCCTCGAAAAACTCTGCCCGTAGTCCAAAACGTCGATAGATGTTAGTGATTGGCATCTCATCATCTTTACAGGTTTTTTCGCTCACACCAAACTTCTTGCTGCCAGTGACTCAGATGAGTTGAAAGAGCCTCCGGCAGTTACCAAATGCAGCTGCTACTTCCAACTCATTAGCATGCACCGACCGCCAAGCTTTTCGGTCCTTACGCAAGCTTTGCCCAATTTCATTACGTAGTAGTCCTGGTTCATAGTCGAATTCACGGTTACCCGAAGTAGACCGATTTACTTCAACGAGCTGTATTGATCCTGTAGAAATCCAGTCTAGATAAGGACTCCAGAAGGGACATCAGTTTTGCACACAACCACGCCAACGGTAGCTGATTGTGACGTGATTGATCTGAGTCCAGGTTTGAGATGCAGAGGGAGGACGTCAAATAGCACATCGGCGATGACTGTGCCGATAGTTAGTACTAGCCAGAAACAGATTGTGTTCCGAACAAATTCGGAGCAGACAGTTACCGTCATCAGACCTGAGAGCAACAAGTCCCCATCGGCCACCTAAACGACTATTTTCTGTGTATTCAAGTCTCCGGCTAGTACTACAATACCTGTCGAACGCACTTTCTGTAGAAGAAATGTTAGCTGGTGGTAAAAACCCTTGATTGCATCCGGGCTGCAATCTGTCGGAGTGTAGGCGGAGATGACGAGAGGGCATCGTTTATCACACCGATTTCTTCTCGCTTCAGTGGAGCTTTCTAATCTAACAGAACATAATCGACTGTTATCGGGGGTCCAATCGATGAACGGTGCCTCTGCCCTAGCGCTTAGTGTGACACCAACGCCAACAAGACCAGAAGATGCCACAGAGTCCCTGAATAAACACATGAAAAACGAGCTTTTGGAAGCGGCAGATGAGGCGAATTTGCAGTACTTATCAGTCTTGAACACGGGTCGTAGATAGACAACAGACATCGAGGTTAAGGTTGTCTAAAGACATAGTCAACCTTATCTGTTGTCCGATCTGTATTAGTATGGGGACGTTAAAAGATACCCGTCTGAATGGCATACGTGGTTTCAGGAAGGTTGGTCCACAACTCGTATTTGGTGGTAACATTAAAATTTTGACCAATCAGTGACTTCAGCTCGTCTTGATAGGACAGGGTTTTCACCATAGGCGAGCTGTCATACCAGTTGGAAAAGGAAACGACACACATAATGAGAATAAAAGGAAGTAGATAAGTGACATGGTATAAAAAAGTAAAAACGAGTGTTTTCAAATAATTGTGAATGTGATTTGTCTGAAAGCCAGTTGAAGCAAGAATAATTTTTCCCGTAGTAATCATCATTTGATTTGTGTGTGAGGTCGGATACTTCCTGCGTGCCCAAACCGAAGTACGTGGTTTCCTTAACTGGAAAAGATGTGTGTTATGACTATCCAAATATTAGCATGACTAAAATGATCGGAATCATAATATGATAACAGTATTAACCCTCAAATTGAATCTTCTTCAAAATCCTAACACAATCGACTTTAGAAGGTAGAAACAATGGTTCATTGAATAAATATGTGAATGTATGTATAAGACGTATTCAACTAATATAGTTTAACTGAAGGGAATTCTCACCGAGCCATTCTAAGGATACTGCCGGTCCCAAGCACGAGTAAGAAAGGAAGGTTGGTTTTGCGGGTCAGCAACCTCATCTCGGAAAAAACCAAACTAAGAAAACGCTGACCAGCATAACTAAATAACTTATCGGATAAAGAATATGCGTAATAAAAATAAGGATTTAAATTCAGGTTGTAATTACCATAGTCAAACATACCACAAAGATGTTCATCAAGAGATAAATTTATAAAACGAATTCTATTTCAATTCTATGTTTGATACAAATATGTTTAATTTAATGAGGATAAGTTTATTCCTATACGAGAAATTCGGTGTAAAACTTAAATCATGAACTTGTATATGATTACTGAAGTATACATTATTATTATCATTATTATTATTATTATTATTATTATTATTATTATTATTATTATTATTAATGGCTTTATTCAATATCATCTTTTTGGTACAATATAGAATTCTCAGCACAGGGTATTTCAACAAGTTACTTACTGAACAACGAACAAAAAGGCAGTAGCAAATACAAAAAGAAATTAAAAAGGTTTTTAAAAAAAAAATAAAATAAAAAAAAACTACAAACTTTTTAAAATTAAAGACGTGTTAAGAATGTAAGTTATTGACTAGGTTAATTCTAACAACCTGTTCGTCACAGAGTATATTTGCTAGGTAAGGTATTATAGAACTTTTATACTTTTCCTTGCGTGCATGGATTTTAATGTAATTACGTCTCGTTCTACCAAAAGATATATAAGGAGAAAGATAAGAGTGAAGGGGATGGCTAGTATCTGATAAAATAACACCTGCCAGGAGTTTGCATGATTTTAAATGTCTATCCACAACCATATTAATTATGACCTCGAAAGATTCACCACACATCTTGCCAACTGCCTTCTACACTCTCCGCAAAACAGCAAAGTCTTTCCTCAAAAGCCCGGGAAAGAATAATAGAGAACAGTAAAGAATAATAGGTAATATGCAAGAATCGACAAATTGTAAGAGTAAATGACGAGTAATCCCAAGAGCATGCAGTCTCTTTATGTAGTAGGTCAGACGGAAAACTTTCTTTGATAACAGTAAAACGTGTGAAGACCAAGACAGATCAGAGGAAAAGGTGACACCAAGATAACTGATCAAAGAGTCTCCGATGGTAAGAGCATTATGGGATCACAAAATGGTGTTTAGATTCCGTTCATGTCTCATGCTAAAGTTAACAGCTTGACATTTAGACGGATTAAGTATGAGACCATTACCAACAGACCAACAATCAATACGAGACAAAAACTCATTCATTTCTATGGGATGTAAAGAGGAAGAGATAGGCATACATACAGTGAGATCATCCGCATACTTCACAAAAGTGTTTTCTGTGGAAGATGGCAGGTCATGCAGAAAAAAGGAGAATAGAAGAGGTGAAAGAACAGCTCCTTGTGGTACACCTTCATGAGACAGTAGAGACTCTGAACTCTTTCCTCCAAACACAGTGTACTGTTCCCTTCCAGAGAGGTAGGAACATAGCCAGTTGGTTATCCAGCTGTCAGTGTTGACGCTGATTAACTTGTTAAGTAAACGTTGTCTTGGTATAGAGTCAAAAGCTGAAGTATAGTCCAGAAAAGCACATCGAACATACTTCTTACCCTTTTCTAAGTTGAACACTATGTTGTGATGCAGAACTGCAACAGCATCTAAAGTGCTTCTTTTGCGCCTGTATGCAAACTGGTATGGGTCAGTATGCTCTTTTATCGCAGGCTAAAGTGGAAGTATTAATAATTTTTCCATGGCTTTGAGGAAGGGTGAAGTTATTGCAATAGGTCTAAATTTTACATTCTTATCACCAAATGCTTTCTTGGGTACAGGAATTATCTTCATCTTTCTCCACATTTTCGGTATGAGATTCGATGAGAAGGATCTGTTAAATATAGTTGTGAACGGATGACACAGAACATCAGCACATTTTTTAAAAAGGATGTTTGGGATACCATCAGGTCCCAAACATCGAGATGAATTAAGCGACTGGAGACATCCTCGTACATCAATTTCAGTGAAAGTAGGAACACAGCTATTTTTTAAACCCGCGGATAGAGGGAGCATCACATCAGATGACTGACGTACAAAAGACTTATTTAAGTCACAAACATTCAGCTGGTTATCGCTTCTAAACTTTCTGTCATCTGTAAGTTCTTTAAAGAATTTCCACATACTTGGAGAGTTTTTGCAAGATAAGGGCTTTTGAGTAAACATACAGTTGAGACGTCTAATCTCTAGGTTCATCAGACCATTTAGTTTACGAACTTCATTAGAGTTCTTCTCCTTGTACATTCTTTCTTTCATCCTTCGTAGTCGTTTTAGTTGTGAAGAAGTAAGTCGATCAAAACTTACAAAAATGGTTTCAGTGGGACAACAAATATCAGAACAGAATTTAAGGTAACAAGTGATAACATCTGTAGTGTTTTCCAGTGAGTCATCTGTAAATAATTCCCAGTTAGTCGTATGAAACATCTTTTTCAGATTTCGGATATTTTCTGAGTAATTCCCATATTTGACTTTCTTGGTTTGATGTAAGAGTGTACTCTTCCCATGCTTTCCATATACTTTAGGTAGAACACGAATTATACAGTGATCTGAGCTAGACAATGGAGCACGTTTACGAGTCGCATATATACCCACATCATTAATGAAGACGAAGTCTAGATGAGCATCCAAACGGGTAGGAAAATCCACTACATTTTGGTGACCTAGTGACGTAAGGAAGCTACAGTCACATGAATTGAAATCACCACATACAACTGAAAGTGAATCACTGAAGGCAGTAACAGCGAACTCAGTGAATTCATCAGCAAAAACAGATAGTGCAGATGATGTGCAATCTGGAGTCACGTAGATATTGGTAACATAAACATATTTGTATTTATTCAGATGTTTTGGACGACATCTTAGAGTTAGACAGTCGATAAAGTCATTTGAAAACTTAAAACACACAAACGAAGATCGACACCAGTTTATGTTTACAAACGTAGCTACACCGCCACCACACCTCTTTTTATTGTTCGATCGATCCTGACGATAAATTTTAAAATCACGTAGTGATACAAGGCAGTCATCCTGTAAATCATTCAACCAAGATTCTTGAATTGTGATGACACCACAATTACGATACGTATTTTGACTAAGTAGGAATTGCAGATAGTCCACTTTGTTGATTAGTGATCGGCAGTTAGAATTTAGTAGCTCGGGAATTGACATACGATTAATGTTCATTCTCTTTAACGCATATTGCCAACCACCACGATGCCTTTTATAGTACTTTTTCGTAACTTGTGCAGCGAAAGGTCGTAGGCTTTTCATAAAAGCGCCTGAATAGGTTATGCGATTAATGGACATAATTATAAATTAAAACAAATAAAAACAGATAACTTGTTGAAATAATCAGATGGCAGAAACAGGTAGCCCAGATATTCAAGCAGGCCGTCGTGAAATATAATAAAAAATTGTAGTAAATCCCAAGAAATAGTTGCTTGTGTCCTCTGCTTGGGACTGAGCTAAAGCGAAGAAAAACAATAATCATTTTTGCTATGTCCATCTTACAATTTGAAATTTCAACAGGAATTTATTTTAATGATTTAAAAATGTTACTGAAGGTATTGACTATTAACTGAACAAACACATTCTATCTAGTCATGAAGATGTTTCAAGTTGATGACCAAAAAATAAGTATACTATGAAAAAGAGAGACTGTACGAAGTTAGAGCGTGTGAACAGTGGGATTAAAATTGAGTAAGCTATGGCACCAAGTTATTCTGGTAATTAGCAGGTTGGAATTTCAACAGAAACTATAAAGAATACCAATCAATATGGCAAACTGCATCATTCAGATTTCCAAGCGGAAAGTCTTTTCCACATAAATAGCATTAACCTAATAAAACTTACGCGTGTTAACAAAAGACGATTAAAGAACACTTCTTTTGGTAACGTTTCCATAAGATGATCCAAACTTCTCGAAGTTTCAGATGGCATTAATGCATTTTTTTCACCTTTGAAAACTGAAAGTTCTGATGTATCCCTCCTATAATTCAGGCGATTGTGATGATGTTTCTTCCCCTTTTTAAAGCGTTTTGATTTATTGACCGATAGTAAGGTAGCATGGTTCTTTAAAGAATTTACCTCAGAAGGTGATAAAAGAGGGTGACGTGTTGTACATTCTGAACACATTTTGGTCACTTCATTTTGATTTAAATCACGTGAAGAAATATCGCCTTTATTACCGAAAGAATTATTTGCATGGGAATCGTCAACTTTATGAATGCATGTGCATAACAAACGCTCTAATTTATCAGATCTTTTATCTAGACGTTTAATGGATTTCTTGATGGTTCCACTAGGATTCATGATATTGTCATTATGGTTGCCTGTCCACTCTATATGATACCAAAGTTTAGGATCAGGAGTTCCGACTGGACGAAAACAAAAAGGTTCATCAGATGGAGTAGAAAATTTCGACAAATATAATTGATCACTGCTGATATGACCATTAAGTAAAGGGTTTGTGATACTTGTTAGCTGGTCAGTATTATTTTTGACTGACTTTGTAGTACCAGTAGGAGAGATTGGTGGTAACGGACGAGACATAGGAGGTATATGAACAAATTCATCCACGGGAAAGCATGAATTTTGAGCTACTGTTGATTGAGGTTGAAAAGCATTAGCTAGTAAATTAAAGAAGAGAAACTCGTATTTAGTAACATCATTCTAAACAAACTAGAAGGTGAAAATGAATTAAATAATTGAAATATAACATGATCAAATACAGGTAAATGGATGTATATCTGAAGTTAGTAAAATGTATTTTGAAGATAAACTAATGAAGCGTGACGTGATTAACACAACTACTTCATTAATTATAAGAGAACTCGAAATCTAAAATATAAAGGCCTAATTTAAATCAGAAGGGGTTTTGTGGAGATTTTAGTAATTTCAATATCAACTCACTGAAAACAGTGGTGTATGGTGGCGCAATTTCGTGGATTAGTTGAAGTTAGACATTAACACTATTGGATGCCGGCTCAGTGGTCTAATGGTTAAGCGCTCGCGCGTGAGACTGATAGGTCCTGGGTTCGGATCTCGCGGGAGCGGGATCGCGGATACGCACTGCTGAGAAGTCCCATACTAAGTCGACAGGGCTGTCCTGTGCCTCCAGGTTTTCCATTGTGGTCTAGCTTCAAATTGCCTAATTAAAAGCTACTTTGATCATTACAAAAAGATTTTTCATGTAAGGGTAGGATAATAGTCAAATATTTATACTAGAAGAAAAACCATTTTTCTCTGGAAAATAAGGAGACTATTTAGTGTATAAATCGAATTAGTATGTAGAAAAATGATCCCAAAACATTTCATCTATAAGAGTGATACATCCTATAAATTCCCATGTTGTAAACTATAAAATCATATGCAGTAAATCTGACTGTAGAACTTGTTCAAATCATCCTATGATAAGAGGTAGATTCATAGTAAAGTATAATGAATAAATCTTCTAAGAAATTTACTAGTAAATTTCAGATATGTCGAGATGCAGCTGTGTGTTATGAAACGTAGAAAATATTTCATACAATAATAGTTCAAATAAATAATTTCAATTCATCAAAAGACAATACCAATAACAGAATTTTCCGGATGTCCGAACCAAGTTACATGCAAACTAATGTCTGGTGCAGAAAAGACATTGATTTTTTTCGGTAAACCTACTTATTTCCAAATGAGTAGTGTTTTGCAAACAATAGTATTTTTAGTGCACGGGTAATAGTGCAGACAAGAATCTCCATATTTTAAATCAGGAATTGATATTACCTAGACCACCAGTGAAAATCTGGAAGCCTGGTCAGCGGTCTAGAGGTTAACGGTTTTCACGCTGAACCGAAAGTCCTGGTTTTTAGTCCCGGATGCGTAATTGCAGGTCAGCGACGTTGAGTAATCCTATGCTAAGACGAAACAGCCATCTCGTGCTTTCGGGCTTTCAGCAGTAGCCAAAATAAGATCAGCCAGCAATTTAAACAACAAATAGTATTTTCCTCATGAAGTTTGAACAGTGATTAGTTGATTAATTTAGTTTGGAAGCAATAAGATGGAAATTATCAATATTGGAAAGTGAAAAGTTTACTGTTGATAATAAAGTTCCATTGTTCAGTATCTGCTCATTGATCCTATCGCTATTGACACTTATGAATTATTCTTTTATGATTTAGACTGAAAATACGTTTGGAGATTGTTAAATGAATGAATTAAATGCGCCTATCGATTGATAAGGTGTAGTGATACAGTATGACTGAGTGGTGATGACTGCCTATCAGACAGAATAATTATCATATTTCCTCGAATGAAATGATATCAGTTACTCAGTGTAACGTTGAACCTAGCATATAAATATATTCTTCCAGGTTGCCACACCACAATAACACAGAGAACTGAGATTATCAGGAAAACCCCCAGAGTATTAGGATCAGTAACAGTATTAGTGATCAGGTATAGATGATATAATTCGAGAAGAGAAAATAAACTCGTGAAACAAAAAATGTGAGGATTTAAAGGAAGATAAAGAATGAATGAATGCGTATCATTAAAACTAATTCTGAGCCGTTTCACACTATTATTATTGTTATTACTGTTATTATTATTACTATTATTATTATTATTATTATTATTATTATTATTATTATTATTATTATTATTATGGCTTTATTCAATATTATGTTTCGGTATAATATAGAATTCTCAACGCGAAGCATTTCAAAAAGTTTCTTTCCCAACGATTGATTCTAATAATCACGTAGACTCCCATCGAGTGGTATAAATATACTAACACGGCTCTGTTTATCTGAAAATGACTTCATGAACTGATCCCATGTCTCGGTTTTGTCACCCGTAACTTCCTTCCAACAACCTCTCACACCAATAGACATCATGTGTTGAGGTAGGCATGGTTAGACATATGTAATACATATTTCAATCACCTAACTCGATGAACATTCACTACCTGATATCAGAAGATAAAGCCCATATTACAGAAGAAGTCTTTGCTTCCTATAAAATAATATGCTTATGTACAAAGTATTGAACACAAGAATAAACACGACTGAAAGTCAGTTAACAAATAAATAATAGAAGGATATGGAAAGTAATAAGTCATTTACTCTCCAAATAGAGCTAATGTAAGGCTAACAAGACTGAACACACACTTCTGAGATGTCCCAAACTATAACGAAATAGTTGTCCAGTTCTTTCTGATTTTCAATAGCTGCTTAACTAAAACTGGTCTATGATCCAACTGCAAAATTTAATAATCTTTACAGTAAATAACCTAAATATCTAATAAGACAATTGTCAATCTATTAGTATCATGATAAACTTATTATAATTCAATGATAGAATTTTATCATTTCATGAGCTCCTTTGATTTCAATTATTTCATTTTATGAAATTATGATTGATGTACTTTAAACTCTTCTCTCTATTGTCTCACTATACTTCATCTTATTGTCTAGATTAATGTAACTTAGTATTTTGTAATACTAACGTAATCCATGAAGACAGTGTGGTTCTTTTTTTTCTCCTGTTCATGTTATAGAACTCTTATCTAAATGTTTCAATCATCTTATGAATACTTCATGGTATGTTGAAAGTATGTAAAGTTGAATTATTCGTTTCCATTGGTTTCGGTTAATAACATTATTTTTACTTTATATACTATACATATTTCCATTAAAATACTTTGTAAAGGTTTCGAAATAAAGGTTAGTTTAATTCATTTGTATTGGTTGTTTGAATCTTCTCATTGATATTTAGGACTGAAATTGATCAATCTGTTTTTGACATACGTGCATTCTGTGCGGATTGCCTCAATATTGTCTTAAGTTACAAGCACTATAAGCAGAAATGAACAGTGGTTAGCAGTGGGATCCGGGACGCGTGTTTTGTCCCATAAAGTGAACGGCACTGGGCTCAAGTGCTGGAGTGAGCATCAACTCTGGATGCAGGTGCATGAAGCTGACGAGTCTCAAATAGGACGAAACGCGCGTCCTGGATTTTACTACTAGCCACCGTCCATCTCTACTTATAAATATTAGTTTATTCACACTGTAGATAGGTGGTGACGAATGTTAAGTAATGAGATCTTTTTATTGCACTACTTAGAATAAAGTTCTTACTGTAGCTAAATATTATTCTAGCTACGACAATGTCACTGGGAAAAGACACAACAACGACTCATCGTTTGAAGTAATTGTTTGAAGAAGTATGAACTAGCAGAAAAGTCTCTGTCATACAGTAATCGAACATCTGAGTAAATAATTTAGAGATATGTGTGTAGAATAGTCTATTTTGTAGTTGATTCTCTCCACAAATTAACATCAATTTCGGAGGACTGTCGAGAAGCAGAGAGTGCTGGATAGTTGTTTCCTCCTAGTATAGAACTCATCGAGCATCTGCTCGGAACCCCGTCAAGGATAAATAATTCATGTTTGGACATGGAAATTAGATTATTTTCACACACATCAATATATAAGTGTTAGGCAGAATCCAAGCTATTGAATTTTGGGTACTAAACTTAACAGATCGATAATTTATGTTTCCATGCGGATTTTTACGTTATTTTTAAAGCTATTAAATGCTTATAAAATACACCCACCATGTGCAAGCACTATTTAGGATGAAACTATCTTCGTTTTGACAGTTTGTACAGTGAATATTTGTGACATCGTAGATATAAAAACCAGTTTTCTAAGTAAATTCAAACGAGGAAGTTTCTTACAACATAGCTTACTTGGCTGTAAATGTCCTAGTCACAAACAGATTTATTAAAACAAAAATAAACATGAATAGTAAGTTAAATACAAAATATTCAGTACATCAAAAATCAAAGGATAAACTTACATTGTAATGCATTCGATATGGATTGACTATGATTGGATTTAGTAAATTCGCAAGTAACCAGTGCAACATGTGCATTGTCTTTGAGCTAATAATAGAAAATAGATCAGAAAAAGCGTTATGATAAGACAATTGAAGATATACATCTTATCTTATAACCTAGTCAATCGTTAACAACGCAGGATATGGTGCAAATATGTTTTGACTCTAGTTGTTCAAAATTCATATAAAAAACAGGTAAATGGAACTTAACAACACAGAAAATAGTCGGAAGTGTAACAAAAAAAAGAATATGTGAAATGGATGCTTCTCTCTGATACTGGAATCAATTCCCAAACTTATTGCTGACCGATAGGAATCATGGATTACCAAATACGATTCAGGCAAAATGATATGTATCGTTAGGTTTAGTTCAGACTGATATTTAATGTCTGTATTACAAACTGAATAATTAATTAATTTCCATTATATAAAAAACCATTCAAACTGAAATTGATCAAAGCTTTCTACGAAACAGAAGTGTTGGTTCATATATATAGATGTATATATACAAATAAAAAATATCAAGAAACATTAACTGTGCAAATACCATCACTGATTTTTGTCATCTATAAAAAGACGAGCCGGAAAAAAGAAATTATTTTATTGTTATTTGTTTATTTAGCAATATGTGATGAAATATCATTCAAGCATAAATGACTAATAATTCAACTTTGTAACAGTGATGGATGAATTAAAATAACGTAACTTTCGTACTCCTCTTTCACAAAAGAAACTTAAACCTTACAACATACATATTTTTTTATTAGAAGTATGTTGAAAAATATATGTAGTTACAAGTACAATTACCGCAACAATTAGAATTCTGTGATTTTTAGAGAAAAAAAATGTAATTTTCTATTTACTTATAAAAATGTGCACACTGAAAAAAGACAGCATACCAGAGTTAATAAATAACAATTCTTAAAAATATACACTCGTTTATGTATGAATGACGTTGTTGTAGATAGAAACTCATAAACAACAGGTTGTATATTTCGTGTGAAATTTTGTTAAAAGGGAGGAAAATTTTTTGTTTTGACAAAAACATTTGGTTAAGCTGTACAGTCATATTTATAGTTGTTTGATAAATTTATAAGTCTACAGAAGAACGGATTACATCATACATTGATCAGAAATTCCAAATATCAAAAAAGGGTATCGTAATGAACAAGAGGTTAGACAACAATAGTGGAATGGTGAAAATAATTTAAGGGTCAGAAATGTGAGACATAACTGTTCATTTAACAGATATGAAGAAATGAAAAACATAAAGGTCATAATAACGATTGAATAACAATCATGAAAAATATTCGAGGATGATAATGATAACTGACTACGGTTTAAAAAAGCGCAAAGTAAAAATCTCAAAAAAAGATTAAAATATACTGGAATAGAACCAGTAGGGCTATGGAAGGATGAGAGGTTATCCGTCTTGCTTCTGCACACAGAGTTCAGACATGAATTGGTGAATAGCCAACGCCTCACTAGTCCATAAGTTTTCTATTCCATCGCCCATTCTTCTGATTGTGTAGATTATTTTGAAAAACGATTCCTTTGAGGCAACTTGCCTAGAGTTGGTAAAGTATTTCTGTATTGAGCTACTGATCATTTGGAATTATCCTCATCAAAGTCATACTGCGTAATGTGCTTAGATGCGTTTGGGAAGTATTCGTTGTGCATGGCCAACATAACATGCCCCGCATGATCAAGTAAACTTATAGATGTACAAAACTTTTAGCTTTCACATTAAAAATCAATTAGTTTGGTATGATAAACGTAGAGCTGAGTAGAGATATACGTTAGCCTGAGCTGAAATTACACATCAGCATATGGTGAGTAGCAAAAACTGAAATAACGTAGCAGCAGTGATGTTGAGGAAAACCGAACAGCGAGAATAGGGTTTTAAATGGAGAATTATGTATGATGGAACCCTGAAATTCAAGATCGAGAGGAAGATAAAGTTTGGATACGATTTTGCCTGAGCTGCTTTACCCTAAATTTCTAACCACTGAACGTGGCTGTCGCGCGAACCCCCAGGTAATAAGATGGCTAAGACCAATAGTCAGTGACTTTATGAGCTAATGCCGCGTCTTAGTTTGAGCACGTCTAACTTCTTTCCAAAGTGTTCCTAAATCGATTAACAACATCCGGTCAGACAGATAATTGTTGGGCCTGTGTCGTATATGTCATAACCGCCTCAGTTGATGGAGATTTGCAACCCCTATTTACCATCTTACTAATTGACCTATATATAACCTCGACATAGCTCATTCAGTCATTCCATGACACGAGGAATGGTTTGAAGAAATATGCAGCCAAAACTTTCGGACTGTGCATATCTTCTATTTTCATGGAGGATATTTAGGATCTAAAGAGTAATACAAAACGAACTTTTGAGCAGCATACTCGCCCTTCGGTTGGTAGACAGACATCGTGCCTACGTTATAAGTTGGCAAAAGCCGACCAAACGTCTTGAAACTAGGCCGAAATTTTGTCATGCACTAACCCATCAACGCCGATGAGACTTCCAAAATAATTGAACTGATCAGAGAGATCAACTGCTTTACTTTTCATCAGTGGTTTGAGACAAAACTGTGCTAACATATTTTAAATTACAAAAATGCAAAGTGAAATACATCTTTTACATTTACTGTATACGTGAATAACGTAAAATTTACTGCATACATGATAATCTGCAATACAGTTCAATCGGAATGGTAACTTGTCATGATCAGTGGAATTTGATGAATTCGAACGAATCTTTACGTCCCAATCCGTTAAAGTTTGACCAGTAAATAATTCATTTTCTATAAAAATAAATAAACCATAAAATTTATCTTGTAATGCATCAATTAACTGAATAATGATATATAAAAATACTATTTACTACCAGCACTAACACTATTAATACTCTTACAAACTAGACTGGTGAAAGAATAAATAATATTGAAATAAAGTCTCAGTTAATTAAATCAATTCATGTTATTATCTAATCTAATTGTTTTATGAATTTCAGAGATAATAAGTAATTTGAAATTAGAATAGAAATATACAATACAGAAAAAACAATGATTACAACAACAACAATGTTTAAGGCTAAGAAAGAATGACAAGAGAACTAGGTAGACAAACAAAAAACACTGAAACATTAAAGAAAAAAGAGTGGTTCATTGGAGAAATCTAGTTCCTGCAAAAAACAATGAGTTTCTATCTGCTTTGCATTGTTGAAGATTTCGTTATACACTTAGAGAAATAAGAACTAGCTATGTTTATAAAATAAATTTATTCAACCTCTTATTCTAACATGGCATTAAAATATAATATTCCAAAGTTAGCACCCTTAATTTCTCTTATTGTCCTAGTATTGACTCTTTAATCCTAAGCATTTGCATATCTCTAATTGATCATGTCATTTTCATTTCAAAATTTTATCTAATTATGTTACACAAATCATTTAATTCAACTCATTTACCTAGAATAGATGTGAGTACTTGACTTTCAGATTTACTTTAAGCAAGAGGCATGTAATACTAGCTGATTGAGCAAACTGAAGTATAGGGAAGCGTGGTTTAAAACTGCATCTAAATGGTTAAAAGTCGAAGGCCTTAACAGCTTAATTACAACGCTGGGAATACAAGCCAATACACACTTATAAATCTTTATCGAACTCCTACAAACATTCAAGTAATGAACAACCACATTTTCACCTACTTAATAAGAACAAAAAACTTTCTGTGCTGTCATTCATTTTGATCCGTTGTTATAATGTTTAGTAAATCATTGTTATTCTCAATAGACATAGATTAGATTATTATTGTGAAAAACACTATACATTTGCAAAAACAAGGCCTCTTCAGTGAATCAATCTGTCTTATTTTATAAATCCAATTAATAACGTAGACGACCTGCTGAGGAAACGTCGATATCACAAAATGGAATTTTATCAATGGTATTAATTAATGAAATATGAAGAGCACAATTAATTATGGTAATTTGAAAAATAACGAAATACTTTCTCTAACACGACAAAATAAACCATTTTACAGATTCAAGGAATATATATATGTGAGGAAGAATGTTCATCCAGTATAAACACTTAAACAAACTAAAAACTATACTCACTAACATGCATAAAATTTAATTTACTTGTTTTTTGAAATGACAACAATGAACAATAAGCTGATAAAATAAAACTAGCTTAAACTACTTCAGTATATCCACTTATAGCATCAGTAACATAATAACACTATCTGGTGAATGATAAATGTTAGTAAAGTCACAATAGAACAATTATATAAGTGATCAATCTCCGGAGATTCAGCTTGTTTTACAAAAGTGATTGAAATGTTATCATAGTATTGTATATACATATATAATTAGTTTATGATTCTAGTTCACAAACTACACAATCTTCCAACGAAGTTAGAACAATAAAAGAAGAAACACGTACCAGGGTTTTGTGCGATAACTCGTTGTTCATCTAATCTCTCTAGAAAAATGATTGTAAAAATAAATAAAGAAATCATGACATGGTACTGCTATCTCTACCATTACTACTGTATAATCTGAATATAATGGCATGTCTAATAACAATTGGTAATTCATTTAATAAATTAATTTTCCCAAAAAAGTACTTTTAAATGATACACTCTAATTTTAGTATCCCGTCCTCCTGAAAATAATCCAAGTCCGTAATTACATAACATGGACTAAGAGCTATTGCATAATCGTACGTTTATCTACTGCGTTTAGAACTAAGTTATTTAAAACTAATTTTATCGCGATCTCATATGTAAACTTTTATTCACAATAATATTACATTTTTCATACATAACCTGATGAAACGTATTTACTAAGAACAGATTTATGTAATCACTTTGATGAGAGTAAATGATACTACCCAGCTACACAAATAGAAGAGGAATGAAGTTCCAAACTATTATTCATTATTTAGTTAAAAGTCGAATGTTTTGTGGGTTAATTCACTCGCCTTAACCTTGGGAAACTTACTGGATTATTAAAAAAAGTCAAAATGAAGTAGGATTTTACACTATCCTACTTCTAACTAATCACTAAAACGAAACAATATTAAAATACAACAATTTCTTAGGCTTTCATTATAATAATTAATCATAAGTAATTCAGAAAAAAATATTTGAAAGAAATACTATTTCAAACTATAGAATTAAATAAAAAAGAGGAGAATATTATGATGAAATAACAATGAGATCAATCGAAATTGGTGATAATCACTTACTTAAATCTAATTGTGTAGATTTAATTTGTTTTGAATATGGCTTATTTTTATAGATTCCATCTAAAATTTTCTCCTTGGCCTGAGTTATTGTATCACAATCAAGCACTTTTACAGAAATATATGAAGTAGATAAACCAAATAATTGCTCAGGATCTTCAACACAGAGTGTCTAAAAAAAGTATCATTATTATTCATTGGACAAGATACAGTTAATTTGTGCACAAAATAACAGTAATAATAATAGTGCAAAACAAATCTATATGAATGAAAGAAAATGCGTGAAAAGTGTCATATAAGTAATAAATGTAAAAATGTATAAAAGCAAACAATGATAGAACACACACATAGATATACAAAGTGAATGGGCAGAATTTAAAATACTTACAATCTGCTTTCCAGTCATTTCTGTTTGAAGTAATGAAAAACTGTCTAATGTATATCTAGCTTTCCCAGTTATAGCATCACGTGGACCCATATTTATTTGTTGTAGAAGAGCTCGGTAAAAATAAAATAAATTTTCACCGACGCTATTCTAAATGAAGTAAGAAAAAGAAGTCATACATTGCAATACACTGTATAGAAGACCATTGCAACCATTAACTAAGTAATAATAATGGTAATTAACTGCATACTATAATGGTCTGGCGTGAGAAATCTATTAAATTAACATTAAGACTATGAAAGTATAAGAAAGAAGTTGTGCAACTGAAGAATAAAAGGTTAAGATTATGTCCATATTAGAGTTTTCCCAAAGTTCATGTAGCTTATTTTGCAAACGGTATTTAATTTGCCTTTCTATAATATTCCATCCATTAGTTCGCAAAGTACACACAGTAGAGAACCTGTATCTGTATGAGACATTCCGTTCCGTTCACTGAATACAGGCACAACATTACATGATGAAACTATGGGTCCGAAAATTAAATGTTTTTAAATACGTCTCAAATAACGTGATATTCCCATTATTCTTTCTTTAGCAGCAAAACATAATATGAAGAATTAATACCACATCTAAGGTTAGATACAATCTATCATATAGAAAATTTTTAAAAATGAATTTGTATAGTACTTGCTTACTTTAATAAACTTATACAATAGGAATGTTAACCAGTTAGATAGGATTTTATCGACAATTGTTTCAGCTCGTCGAAAAGCAGTAGCTAAACGAGCATCTCCTTGAAGACGAAGTTGGTACAAAAGATCGGTCATTAAATCAAACATAACACTAAAATGGAAAATACAAAACAAAAGGCTATTTTCAGAAAAAAGTTGGTATATTGCTGGTGTTGTTACCAAGAGTTGGATTTTTCGCATAGAAACCCGCTGAAAATTATCTGTTTCACACTATTTGTCATGAACTTGAAAATAGAACAAAATACGAATTTTTTAATTCATTATAAAAACGATTTTTTCCATTATTTCAATGTCGAACGCACCCATCTACACCCAACTTTTCACGGTTAATATAATGAAAGAAAAAATACTATACATGATCAAATAATGATAATGAAAATAGGTCATATATGAACTAGAAAATAATTTTCTAAAGTATTTCATTGAAAATACTGTTAGATTGTAATCTTTCTGATAATGTGACATAAATAAAAATAAAATTATTATTTTTATCAAAAGTAAATAACATAATTAAACATGAAAAAAATATATATATAAACTAGTCTTATCATTTTTAGATAATTTGAAACAATTTACATATATGCCAGGCTCTAAGTTGCGTATGACTGACTGATATGAATGATAACATAACAAAGTATATGTAACAATTAGTTCATAACATGTGTAATCTAACAGAAACTATCCAGTACATGATTGTTATCAGGATGGGGGAATTATGGAGACTGTAGTATTTTCATAATTGATATAACGAGTCGATTTAAGCTAGTATGTTATATCCGGACGAAGAATAAATTAATGGTAACTACTAGGAATTATTTATGGACTATTATTGCATATACTCATATTGGATAATTGTATAGTAAATAGATTATATGATATTCACATTCTTTTTATCATAAGCTCTCATTTGACCTATTGGTTACTATCATATGGTTTACTATTCTCAAGTTAATCCCAGTTTATAAGTTACAGTATCACATTCACAGCCACTTTTGAACTGAACTAGTATAATTGTTACTGTCTGTTTTATGGTCTGAAGCGGTCTGGTTTGCTTGCATATAAACCACGTATGTCTGAAATATACGATTCATACAATGCAGGCTAAGACTGAGTTTTGAACTCAACAGGCAGGGGGCTAGGTGAGAAGGATCAGTAAGGGTCTAAGGTTGATGCAAGGCTGACAGTGCTGGTTGACGTGTCATTGGTTTAGCACAAGTACAAGGACATATGAGTCGGTATTCTGGTTGTCGACATTGTCACGTGATAATTGGCAGGGGCAAAAGTCATAACAAAGACCACCAATGAAAAACCGTCCAGTCCTTTCAGATTTTCAATAGTGGTCTAGTTTAGATGGACTCGTGATTTCAACTATGAAAGTACTACAATCTCCATAAATCCCCCATATTGAGAAAGTATTTAATTGATAAACTGAACTGGGAAACATTAAACCACAATATCAAGCTAATCAAGGTGGATTACATGTTCAATCATCTATTTTAAGGGAATTGATATAGACTACGTTTTCAACACAAAACACATTCGTTTACATAATAATAATAGTTCAGTTGTTTTCCTTAATAATAACTACAAATGTAAATATTTAGAAAAATTGAAAATAATTGATCCAAAGGTTATTTTATTTATTAACATAACATGAATGTGTAAATAATGCGACAAAATAACCAGCAACAAGTGTGAAATAAGATACAATGGTACAAATAAACTGACTAATGTTCTAACTGAATGATTATCACTTACATCCCGATATTATCAGTAGTAATGAACAACCGTAAAGCGATATTGGCGAATTAACTGAAGTTGTAAATGTGACCTGATGGATCATAACTCTATATTCTAAAAGTAACTCTCTGTCTTTCACCCCTAATCATGGGTTCCATCCCTAAAGAGGTCGTGGGTAAGCACTACTGAGAAACCATACCAGAATGAAACAGATCTCCTGTAATTCTCGGATTTCAGTAATTACTTAACTAATTTCAATTCGTAATAGAAACTACCTTAAAACTGATCAAACTACGAACATCCTAATACTAAGGAGATTTTGATAGAATAACACGAACATTGTAAGAAAAATTCAACTGACCTTGTCAAATAATCCATTTTCGGTTGTAAAGCTGCACAGAGTAGAGAAGCAATACGAGATTTATCTTTAGCCATTATATATTTATCTTCTTCAATCAAATGAATTAAAAGGTATAAAAAGTGACGATTGCACAAGAGTGCGTGAAATAACGAGATTCCTTTGGTTGCATCATCATGCGCTCGAACATGCACCTTAAAAAACGCATTGTATAGTAAAAAATAAAGTACTTAGCAATTTATGAATAGAAATGAAAGTCTATGTAGACAGAAAAATTGTAAAACAGTATGACAAGTTTAGATTTTTTTAATCTCCTTACGATTATTTACGCATCAATATAACATTTTCTTTACTTTAACTGAATTCTTCCAAAATGTATTGAGAGTTTAATTACTAGTGTTAAAATTGTATGTAGCAAATGTCAACTTTGCCGGAATGGACTTTATAACTCTGGAAATAAATATGAACAAATCGTCGACTGAATTTTGATCAGTCCTACTTATCATATTTGCATCATGAGCAGATTATCTCGGTAAAGCCGCTTCGTCAGAGGTTTTATAAAATAAATGAATAGTGGGTAGCAGTAGTATCCATGGCGCTACTTCCATACTATACGGGACTACTCTTCAGCAGGACATAACTTCGTCCATGTTAAATTTTACAAAAGTACTCGAACCCAGTACTTTCCGTTCCAAACGCCTAATGCGCTATCCATTACGCTAGTGAATTCAGATAGCCACACTTCCTCGATTCCACTGATAGTCACAATTCATCTATTTTATAAGAACTTATGAGGAAGCGGCTATGTCGAGGCTATCCGCGCAGGATGAATGTATTCCAAAAAAGACAAACTAAAATTCAACCAAGGCTGTCAAAAACGGGATAACTCAGACGTTTTGTAACAATGAACATAATTAAATATTAAAAATCCATAAGACCGTAAGTTAAGATATATATTCCATGTTGTTTTATTCGAACAACACACAACTATATACACATGAACTGATGATTGTTCTAACTGAATGATTATCGTTTACATTACAGTATCACCGATAGCGACAAATAAACGTAACGAAGTAACGAGATTTGACTGAGTTCCAGTCTTGGATTCAACCCCCGAAGAGGTCGTAAGAATAATTGAAGAGACCGTTGGACAAATCAATAATACTAGATCAATATCATAATTTTTATTTTAACCCACTTACTGTGAAAGGTGACAACAATGGATGTCGTGGTACAATTGCACTATTCAATGGTTTAATTGTTATATCAGTTTTAATTATTAATGGAGCCGATAAATGTGGATCGATTGGATTCATTAATTCACAATGATATTCAGGAAATAACGAAAACAGGCAGAATGTTTTATAATCTCGATAAGGGAGATTATGCTTTTTCACTTCTTGAGAAAATTCTTGCATACTTGTTTGTAATTCCATGAAATCTATTATCATTTATAAGGAGAAAAAGAAACTCAATTAAACTATTTGATTATTAACTCCTAAAAATAATCTTAATAGTAAGTTATTACAGTAGGTTAGTTATTGTTAGCACATATAAATGCAAGGTAAAAACAATGTATTTGATCAGCACCCAATGTCCTACCCTTTTAATACGGTAGTTTGTAAACTGAGTACATAAAAACTTGAGATAGGTTTTTTAACATGAAGATTTTCCGTCACGAAAAAAACACCAAGCTGGTCAACTGATGGGCAAAGGCAAGGGTTATTAGACAGATTTATTAACATGACGCACATATTTATGAACTTCAAACTTACAGAACTCATAGCAAACATAATACCTTATAGGCCACACAGTCAGAATTCCATCTGATTCATATATCGAACTTCAGTCAATTTTTTAGTACATGTGTTATCACATATAAGTTAGCATGATAGAAATAAAAGATTCACGAATGCTAGTTGTAGACAAAAAATACTAGATGTTAAATTTAATAAAGAAACAGATATTCTCAGGAGAAGCAAAAAAATGTTTATTGGCTGATGAAAATTTTTATTTATAGTAGAAAGTATTTACGATTATTGTACTGAAGAAAATACTACTATGGTGCGTGCTACTGATGCCGATAAATACAAGTAGTATGTATCATCATCAGAAAGTGAAATACCTGGCAGAAGAGGGTTAAGAAGATCGAAGAAGGGGGAACGAGAACAGAAAATGATTGGTGTGGATACGAAAGAACAATGAAGACTGAGATGATTGATTGACACTTTGTAAATGAAGTATTTACTGTATGGATCTCATATTTTACTAAGATGTTCTGTGATTTCCTGTTCAAATACATTCGACTGTCCCCACTTGTGTTCTCGTTCACTACACTACTACTTAATTTACGTACTTTCGATCCAGTAAATCAAGTTGGAAGTTTGTGCGCGTACATTAAATTTAAAAGGCTTATTCATGTTTTGTAATTTTATTTATCAAAGAATGATAAATTTTAATTGGTTGATCATTATTTATTTCTCATGGAATGAGAACATTTCAATCATAAAAATAACACTTCAAAGTATACTACAATTTGAAATGAATTACATGTAATTGCTACCAAACTGAAAAATATTCAAAGGAACAATTAAAAAAAGAACGAATCAACATTATAATCTAGAAAAACAAATATTGAACATGAATATGCTTAAATAGCACAAACCTTCTTTAAATATACGAACAACACGATTTTCATGTTCAGCGTATTTTTCATCAAGTTTAGCTTGATAATTTCTTTGATGTTGCATAAAACGTCGCCAAATTATAAATCCAATCAGACAAACAAAAATTAAAATTAGAAGAAGACCAATAAATATCATGATAATTTGACTGCGTAACGCTGCTTGACGTAAAGCAACAAAACGAACAGAACCAGGACGATAAATAAGAAAACGTCCAAACTGCAAGAAAAAGTCAAACAAGACAAAATAGAGTGTGGAAGTAATTTTTCGATGGGAGTGGGGATTATGTACAAAACTTTGAAACTGATAAAGTCAACTTCATTTATGAAATAAAAATAGTAACTGGTAAGTAAATATAAATATCAGTGTATATATAATACTCAGTTTAGGGGTTGTGGAGATTGTTAAGTTTTTTTATTGAGATTATGAACCAATTGACGTTAGACTAAACTGATAATTACCATATGCTCACTAGTGACTAGCTTCGTGAGAAAATTCTCGGAGTTCTGGTGAGAAGCAGTGACCAGTGGAGCTAATCCGTGTCGGACAGAAACAGGTGTCTATCTCAGTACAATGGAAGATGGTCGTGCAACTTCGTGGATTGGTTGAGGTTAGACACAAACACCATTGGGTGCCGGCTCTGTGGCCAAGTAGGTTAAGCCCTGGGTTCGAAGCCCGAGAGCGGGATCGTGGACTAGCACTGCTGTGAGGAGTCCCACAATAGGACGAAAAGGCTGTCCAGTGCTTCCAGGTTTTCAGTGGTGGTCCAACATCAATCGGTTCATGATCTCAATATATATATATATATATATATATATATTACTGTTTTGCATTACGATACTTATATGTTTAGTGTTTTTTTAACGAAAATATTATCGATAACTAATAAAACTTATTCTTATATTGTTCATTTCGTTTTATAACTCAGTAACAAAGAACCGTTTTATTTTAGCAAACTTTGAACAATGCGAATTGAGATTTTGAAAAAAAGTGAACATGTTACTCAGTGTTATAAAAAATTTAATTACACCATTTTGATAATACAATTACCAAAATATCTTTATGGTTGATCAAATACAGATTTATTCGAAACAATGTATAAATATACAGTTTTATATCAGTTTGCCTATAAGTGAACGTTTAGGAATAGTTTATTTATTTATTTGAATACATGAATATCGTTATAAAGGGCACTGAATACATATGCGCCACACAAGTCACTTGACTTGTGTGTTGGCTGTGATACTGCCCGAGTGCCCAGACCAAAGCAGGTGGTTTTCTTAGGAGGCCGCACCCGAAGCCTTCGATTTAATGGTCTGATCCACAAGGCAGTGGAGCAACATCAGGAGATGCAGTCCCATGTTATCCAGTGACCAACAACTTGTTCATACGCCTTTTGTTACCTCAAGGTAATGGCGCTCATGTGCACCATTGGTTCGGAATCAGGGTTTTCCAACTCCCCTAGGTGAACGCTCTCCGCCCACAAGACCGGATAAAGCGCCGGACACCCGCTTTTCGTCCTCTCAATTTCGTAAACAACAGTGGTGTCTCGAGAAGGCAGTGAGCAGGACTTCTCTGACAGTGGTTCTGTACGTGTGGCCATTTGAGAGCATTTCGAGAGGTAGAGCTGACTCACCCCACCCTCAATCGTACCAGGGCATTTAGGGGCTAGAGTAACCTTGCTAACTCAAAAGGAATATCCTACTACCTTTAAATCATATGAAAACAGAAGTATGAGTTAACAAAAAAGGAAGTGATGAAAAGCTTATGAATTATGTTTCTTTGTAATCGCGTATATAAATTTCCAAGAGTGACTTTGTTGCATACATGTCTAGTAAAACATGATTCATTATTCGTTTTTACAAAAGTTCGTCTTGATAAATTAATTTTAACCTACATCCGATTCTCTATTGTGACACTATAAATTAATCTTTTAAAATAAGTTTAATTAGACGTTAAGGTAGCAAATACTGTCAATCAGTTATTCATGAACTTTCTCTGACAGTTAGTATGCTGTACATAAGAGAAACTAAAGAGAACTGTATTATAGACGCAGTAAGGGATTCTCAATATTTTTAGAAATAGACGGATAAAGCGATACTAATCTCATAAACGATGCATGAATCAGTCGCTATGGTAAAAGTATAGAATCTTAGAGACTGGGTCAACTACTTTATCTATACTTGTGGAAATAACTTCAGTATTACTCACTTCGAATCCACCAATGGTCTGATATCGTTAATTTTCCCATTTCCTCGCATAAGACAAAGAATTGTCATTTAAAGTAAAGTGTTTGAGAATGTCGAGTTCTGTCATCTCTAGTGAATTGATAATCAACAAAACCTCATCTTACACGGCCTTAGCTAAGTGTTGATGAGTACCAAATATATATGGGAAGTAGGTGGATCCTATCTTTACAACCACCAACCTTGATTGATTGCGCCGGATAGAGTACGAGTAAAATAAGAAAAAGCCTAAGAGATTGCATCAGTCGATGAAATCTATGATTATTGGTCTGAGCTCTGTTATAATGTACACGTTAATATTGACTGTTGTTTGAATCTAGTTTCGAAAATATTCTATAAGTCAGTTCGTCAAAAACAAACGAAATCCAGTTGAAAACAAATGACATCAAGTAATAAGTATTTTATCTATGCTGAAATTTGAACTATGTTGTCGAAACGCAGAATTTTGACCATAAACAAAACAAGAACACTGGTTTAAATATGCACATAACATTTAACACGAATTAGTACAGATACGTAAAAAAAACGTCTGTGTAGGTATGTGAGTAAAGTTCAAAACAAAAACAAAACGAGTGATATGGTGAAAGAGGTTTACTACTTGGTTTTAGATCTGTAACCTAAGCAAAATTATTGGTTATCCTTAGAGTCTGAATTTGCGCATAAAATATGTAGTGATGACGATTAAAAAAAGTAGGTCAGACAGTAAAATAAACATTGAGATAAGACAAAAATGACGTAACAATGAACCACAGTATATATGTAAATATGTAGTTCGGTGCAAATTCGTGACAAAAGATGAGTATACGAAATGCAAAGAAAACTTAAGTTTAAACGAAAATTTCTCAATAACACATAATGATAATCGTGTGCTCATTAATGATCACAAGATGAGTTTCATGAAGTTTTCATGAAATGTTGCGATCAGTTCAAAGTGAGAATACAACTTATTGATGATGATAACACCAAATCATACATTGAAAATATCAGACATCAGATTTCAATTCAAATGTCTAGTGTTAACATACACACTGAGAGACGTGAAAGTCTTGAGCTTGCATCAATGCATGTTGATAAGGTGTTCCGAACAAGAATGGAAACAACTTTCCAATGTAACCTAATTTTTAGTGGTACTTCAGCTGACATCACTTCGAAATAACAGATTCCCCCCACAGAATTATCTAACACAGAAAGACGATGAAAGTTTTAATCATCCGGAACAAGTAAGATAATTCAGATATGCACAAAACTGGTAATATTAATTATTAATATTTTCTAAAGAAGAAAGATTTAAGTTCTAACACTACACTTTGAGAATTTTTATTTAAATCTTTTACTTCAATATTTGTTTTCTTAATAAATGGGTTGGGAACAACGATTTTCAGCAACCTTCACGAATACTTTAAAACAAATGATTAGTCGGAGATGAGTTGTTCATTTAGCAGACATTCCAGTTTGAGTAAATTAATTTAAGAAAATTTCTTTTTTTACATGACATTAGAAAGAATAAAAATAGAAAAACCGATATAATCGTTTTATTGTTTTACAGCTATGGTTTGTCTCACATAATAGAATACTATAATAATCGTTATCGTATTTCACACAAAGAAATGACACATTTCCTGGTGTATATACATAAATATGCTAATTTCATCGATCTAACATTTTCGCCTCACACCAACTATTATTGTTGTTTTTAACTTTAGCCAAGGATTAAAAGTACAGCTTTCTCAATTTTCATGCATATTAATTGATGACGATTATAAAGCTCAATAAAATATGATGAAATCGTTGTACTTTGTTGTCTAAAGAAAAAGTCATTGTACTGTTATATAAATTAACAAACTCTACGAAAAAAATTCAACAATTGAATCATAGGAAAAGAATGAGTTAAAAGAATGATTTATTGGATAGTCTAACTACAGCCTGAGTCCCAGTCACCACAAAGAACCAGTATAATATATCAGTAATTTGAAGTTTGTTAATTTAACTCCCGTCGCCACTCAGGTTTTATTTCAACTTTACTCATCAACTTCAAAAACAAGAATCGTCAATTTGAAAAAGGGGAAAAATTATACAGAGATTTATTGAGAGTTTTATATAACACAGATAGAAAAGAAACCAATCGGAATAAGAAAGATGGTGTTAAATGCTTAGTATGTAAGTACAAAATGAAAATAAAGTTAAAATATTTTCACAGGTTTTCAAGTAATTAGAATCGTCAAGTTTCATATGACTGGTTAAAATTAAAAAAAAAACCCAATGAATTTAACACTCAGAAAAGTTAAGTGAATTTTAACTACATGTGATTAGCTTCGACATAATATGTGTGGCCCAACTAAAGCCTATGGATGAATTAGCGTCTATTTGTTAATTTGCATACATTTTTATCATGTGGAAGTTTGAAATTTATATCATCTCTCCAGAAAAATTGACATATTTCAATATTTAGAACGTTTTCTATCATTGATCGATTATTTAGTGTATCTGTTATTTAAGTAGAATATTTTTTGTATTAACATTCCATTTCTAAGCGTTTTATAGTTAAATCCAGAAAACTTATCATTAATTCAGAAACGTAAGCAGGAAATTAGCGAATTCCATGTAAACGAAGGGTAAAATTTTAGTAGTTTCTACATAATAATAAACTGTAATGAAGTTACACGATGTCCAAACAGTTTTTTGATTGTATGAAGTATTTATGCTTGACAAAATTATTACTGTATAAACGGTTTTCATATCATACCTTTAAAGAATATTAAGAAGCTATGATAACTATTACAGTCATTCGTTATTGTGCTAAAGTTAATGTGTTCTTGGCAGATCGCAGTACATTTGTAAAATTTTTAATACTTGTTCCAAAACAAACAACAACGAACGTACTTTATTTTGAGGAATAATGGATTAGATTATGCTAAAAAATAGCAATGCATTGGAAGATATCCCTTTGATGATTAATGTCAGTCATACTCATTTCTATTTAAGTTTCTGCCATCCATATTAGTGCAGGAGGGAAGGAAATTGACTAAATGCAAAACATCAGAAAGGATTAAATAGGCAATGCAGTGGAAAGCTGGAGCTGAGAAGCATGGGCGAAGAGGAATAAATGAGATCGAGAGAGAAGTACATAGTGATACTATACTTAAGATTTACGAGATAGCGAATGAGCGCAACAGCTTTCCCTTTTACGGAATGTTATTTAACGTCTCCAAAAATTATGCCAAGTGCAGTACATTATGACTTGCTGACTAGACTTCAATAATTATTCCTATGACTGAATCTCAAAGTTGGAGTTCTACAAGAAATTCATTCAAACAGTCGACTACTGGCAGTATGCCTTCTTCACTGAGAACTACTTACCCAAGTATGTGAAAAATACTATAATTTCAAAAAAAAACAAGAACTTCATAAACTCATTTCATTGTAATTCAAGCAGTTAGAAACATTATTTTGATTATACATGATTCATTTAGCACTCCGAAAATTAATCTAAGCAAATGTTATCGTTGATTAAAAGTTATACATTAGGACTAATGATACCACTCGATTTAACAGACAGAAGAAAGTAGAATGAGATTCAACTCTTCAACCGATTGATCGGTAAGATAAATCTTTTAACCACAGAGCCACCGTGAAAAACGTGTGTAATTTTGTACTCGCAAAGTAACATTTCTGACCCCAAATTCTTTAAGGTTTCACCCTCATAATCAATATTTTAAGTAAATATGTTAAGTATGACTTTTAAGCCAGTTTCAAGAAAATTGATGAAATATGAATTATTTTAACAAAAGAAACGTACATTTGATCATGTTAACAAACCAATATAAAAACTGAATGTGAGCTGCTTACTTGAACTTCAACAGGATAATCTTGATGTTTATGAATCATTTTTCTATCTAAATCACAACGTATTTCTGTCAATATAATGGAATTAACTTCACAAATTAATGAATCGCCTATTCTTACAACTAATTCATCCGATTTAGCTAGTTCTGGAGCATTGATAAGAGCATCAAAATGGCCATGAATTCGAATTAATTGTCTAACATTTGAATAATCTATGTGATTGAATAATGTATGGGTATTTGTCAATGAAATTGATTGAGATGAAAGTTCCAACGATTGGTTAGATATTTGACGTTGATAAGTATTAAGTTCAATATGCTGATCGTTTATTAAATCATCTGTTAGATAATCATCAAGATTTTCCACACGAATACCATCAGGAAATGGAATTACAATAGGATCTTGATACACCTAAAATAATTAGAAATGCTATGACAAAAAGTGAACATGTTTTATGAGACTTGTTTGTAATATAACAGTAGTATGATCTGATAGTAAAATGTACTAGAAATGTATCAATAATAAAACACGCTACATAAATTGAATACCTGAAAAAGTTAATTAATATAAACATAAAATCAACTGATTAAAATTATTATCCATAGAAAAATTCCACTTGAAGAGTTCTGTATAGATAGAATGATAATTGAAAATGAAAGATTACTTCACCTGAAATCAAGAGTATACAGATGTATCAACGTAGAAACTCGAATAAACATTTCCATAGATTTAAAAAAGTGAAGTTTTAACGTAAACGAAGGGACTTGGTAGCTAAGTGGATAACCCGATGGCTTTTGAGGCAAACGGTACTGGGTTCGAGTCCTAAAGTGAACATCAACTCTGTGACGCAGGTACATCCAGCTGACGAGTCCCAAATAGGACGAAACATGCGTCCTTAATTCCACCGCTAGCCACTATCCATCTTTGCATATAATGCTTGTGAATTAAGGCAATATCGAGGCAATACACACAGTATTCACAAATGCCAATAAGAGACTGACCAACTGCAGTCCTAAACATCAATGGGAAGACTCAAATAAACAATACCAAGTGAATTTAAAGGGAGATATGGATCAAGGAGGGGAAATAAATGATAATCAAATTATTTTTTTAAAGCATAAACTGTGTAACGTTTCGAGTTTCGTTATCTAAGGTCTATAATCATTGATCCATATTATTCTGAGGAACTTTATTCAGGAAATCTAAACCTTATCATACGACCTGAATAAACAGTTATTTAGTCCATGATGATTTCACAACGCCTAGTCTTATAAGCCAAATTTTATATCAGCGAACACAGTATAAGCTTAAAGGTGGTAAAAACAGTGACTTATTTAATGTAGATTAGCAGACGAGACGATTGATAAAATTTTGTTAGATGTGAAAACTATTTTATACGTAAAATCACTTGAATCTTCGTTCTTAAACCGATTGTATAAGTCAGAAAAGTCCTAATTCTTATCTAAAGTATAAAATTGTGCCATAAGTTCCCAAATTTTTACTCGAAGTTGTCAGAAGATACTATTTCTTATTAGCGGCTTTGCCAAAGAATTATGTAACCGATGTGCTGTGACTTGGTTACAAAATCTCCAGACAGCCTAAATCTCAGGAAAATTATAGTTAAATATTTGCTTTCATCAGTTTAGATATACGAAAGCTAAACAACCTACTGAATTATTGCAATTTCCGTGAATGCCACTTGTTATCGTGATACAATATGACAATACTCTATAAGCCCTAACTTGAATCTGTGAGTTCGAGGAGATAATTATTAGTAAAGTTTTATATTCAATTAACACTCTTCAGAGTTCTAGTAACGAAATTAAATAACTCGTTCAGTTTATCGGAATGAACAACATATAGCTTCTGAATATCTGTATTACAGGATCTAACGACACCAATCCAACCTTAAAATATGCATGACCTTTGCAGGTATTCTGCTACTGAACACCATTTAAACAGGAAATTACTGTTGACTCCACAATTTTATAGATCACAATGAATCATACTGTTTCCTTTAGTGCTTACGTGAAAAACATTTCTATGCACTGCCGATACCAATGATTCTCATACTCTGACTAGCATCTTAAGTCTCACCATAATTCAAAATACAATCAATCAGCAACAAAACAGTAGAAGACACCAATACAAGCATCGTCAATTTCAAAAGAAAAACTTTCTTCTCAGTTTATGATGCTTAGTAATCATGAGAAAGCAGTATGTTACTGTTAAGAAAAAATCAAGTCGTAAGAATGACAGGTATTTTATTGAGTCAATGAAAACACACATAAATCATTTAACTGAGTTCAGTACTGAAAGTAATGATCGTTACCATTTGATTAACAAAACGATTGATACAAAACAAATTACTTCAAGGGATAAGGTCAGTAAACTGAATGTTGATTTATACACAGACTCAATTGCCCATATTCGAACCGAATAAATTTCTGCCCATCCCCCGAAACCTAACAAATACTTTCCAACTGAGTGAATACTTTATAAGAGTATTTCCAGAATATCAGTTACCTCGATGGTCTATTAACAAAATTATAAATAGATCTATCAAGTATGTGTATGTTTAAAAAGGATCTAGAATCCCTCGGTAACCATGGCAACAAAACAAAATTTTATCATTCTAAAGAATTCAAATTTTGTAGTTCTGATAAATTACAACTTAATTTAAACGTGACCTGGGTAGACCAGAGATATCACAAAAGAAATTAACTTTGAAGTTAAACAGTATAGATTACTACTCAGAAGTGGTAAAATGAGATATCCAAAGCTGAAATCTGTTAGTCAAGGTTGAAAAAAACGATCCAATGACTAACATTTCGATTGTTTCCCTATGTAACAGTCATAATATGAGTCATGTTTAATTAACAAATCATTGAAAACAATTCACAACACACTGTCTAATACTTTTTTTTGTAGTATATTGAAGAGAGTAGTGCTTACATTAATTAGGAGTATGTAAGAAAAAAAAGCAAATACAGACCAATCTGATGTATCACATGACTCAGTCACGAATAAAACTTAGTCTAATAAATATGAAAAATCAATGCAAAAGTTACTTCAATGTAAATACATACATGATTAACTATTGCACGTTAAGACAAGAAACACATTGTGTATGCACTTACATTCTAAAATGTTCAGTGTTTAAGATGCCAATTAAAAAACCTACAAATAATGGATACAGGAGTGGGTTCAATGTGTCATTTTTTCTATTTAAGAAAACGATGCATTTCTGTAAGTTTCAGTGTAATATACTAGATATATTACTACATATGTTTACCGTTTGCATCATGTTAGATTTAAGATGGAATTTGGATATCGTGATTATTGTAATAGCCAACGTTTATTGGCATATTTGAGACAGCTTTTAAAAATTTACCTATTCGATTAATTTTAACAGCTGATTAGGCTTCTATGCATGGATGTACTCAAAGGTGTTTAGAGAGACAGATAGAGCACATGGCTAAAAGATGCAAAGTACAACATCGGCACTTAAAACTGATTTAAAGCATATAATTTATAGATTACAAATTACATGTCTAAATTAATTGCTCTTAAGCTTATGAAAACAAATAATCAGGTTAGGCAAATTCTTACTAAGAGCTTACTTTAATGAGACCAAATATGCGAAGTTGATGTACACCATCCATAATAAAACCATATGGTACATCAATTGGCCAATTAGGTGGATTAGATGTAAAGGCAGAATTATAAAACTCGCGGTTTGATTTCAATTGAGACAACACCAGTGGTTGAGAAATCGGCAAACAAGATGTAATATATTGTTTTCTATTTGTCCAAACACTAGTACTAGAGAGATTATCAAGTTTTTCACTTGTATATATGTGTTTATCATTCATATCCTTGACCAAATGAGTATCTTGAAACATCCCAAGAGAAGGACTGAAACAATCTAATTGTCCATTTGAAGAAACAAGGCAACTCTAATGATGGTCATAAGAAAAAAATTACACAATTTTGTTGATAGAAAACAAATTTGAATTTAGTGACTTAGGCTTCTTATTATACTCCGGTGATACACATCAAGCAATCATAAACACTCTCGAAAGTAAATTTTATTATTAAGATGATAAATAATTAAAACATTAAATATAAAAATAAAGACAATACAACTGATTCGGTGGGGCTATAATTAATAGATGATCTTTGAGTGATGCTAAAGTGACCTTGAGACAACTCACCTACGTACTAGGAACAAAAGAGGGTTATCAATTAATATGAGTAATTAAGACTGAGATTTAACGTCATGAATCAAAGTAAGAGTTTTCATCATAAAATGACATAAGTTATAATGCCAAAACTCAAGATTCGGTATCTTTAGTTTCATTGGTTTGTCTATAAATTATAGTCACGCCACTTATTCAACAACATCTATTCTACTTGGAACTACATATATATATATATAAACTTTCTGGTTTACTTTTAACATGACGACAGGAAAAGTAATAAGAGAAATAAAATATCATAATGAATCAGTAAAACTGTATATAAGCGGATAAGCAACAAATAAAATTAGGAATAAACTGATGTTTAAGATTTGTAAAAAAAATACAATGAATGTATATACACCAATACAGCCAGTTATGAACTAACACTTTAAGCCTTCAATCACTGTTAGCTTAGATATCGTGATCCTATGAAGAAGTATATATTTTATCAAGTAGCTTAAACCGGTAATCTATCAATTCGATCTTAAGAATCAACTTGATCTTCCCTAGATTTTTTTTCTTGACCTATTTTACAACTGATATTGGATGTTAGGGTAAATAGCAACTACACTTGATCAATACACGTCCTAGTTCCCTTAACCAATGATAGTCCAGTTAGCGCATTATGAGCTTTATCTATTCTACGTAAAGTTGAGAGATAACGTCAATAATATTAGCTCATAAAACTCTGTATACGACCTTAAACACCGATAATTACCTTATAAATGACACTGTACAAGGGAGAGAGAGCACCGTAGTGTACCATCCACAGATATTGATATATATTTCAAAATCTTAATGATGATATAAGTAGTATTAGCCGATAAATCATAATCAATAATTCTACAGCATAGCTCTAAGTTGCGTTTGAACGACGATAATAACCAGTTAAAGTGTTGGAACTCTGAGAGTGAAAAAATTCATCGATTCAGAATGAGTAAACCAGTTCAATTAAATTATAAAGGTATTAACAGGCAAGGGTATTTTATTAAGACTACTACAAGACTGAAAACAGGATTCTAGAGTAATATCAATTATTTGATGAGAAATACTGAAACAAAGGATACTACAGAGTCTATTGTAAATAAAAATGAGTTAAACTCAATTGTTGCGCTAGTTTTTAAAATCCAGTAAGTACATCCCCATGTATTATACATCAAATAGGGTGGTAAAATGACTTAACATAAAAGTTTACATAAAACATTTCTATTTAAGGAAAAATAAAGTACACGAATGTAACAACAAAAGTCAAAAACTAACCTACCATGCTATACTCGGAACCATTGAAATAAAAGACTAATCTAGGGTCTTGAACTACAAATAAAAAAGATCCAAGAACTCGTACGGTAGTTCCACCTCTGAAAAAAATATAATAGGGTTGAATTCATGGTGTATTATGATATATTAAAGAGGAGGTAGAACTATTAGCCAGGAAATCGTTCCACTTATGAAGAATGACTAATGAGTAAACACTACAAATGGTCTACCAACTACTTGAAGATATTTTTTAAAATAAATACGGAATTAGGGGAAAAGTAATTTGGTAGTGGAAATGAATATGATCTCTATGGGCGATTCTTCGAATCAATCTACTTTGATCCTGATGTTGATGTTACTCAGTGGCTTAACTATCTAAATATTAGCTCCGTTATGTATAAAGCCTACAGAGTTATAGTACCCACCTCTTGTTCAAAGATAGTGAAATATCAGTTATGTAGCAACGGTATGAAGTATATCGATCAGTCTCCAATACTAATCACTGCGAAAATATATAATCACTATGTAAATACAGTGTCAAGGCTTTTATTTAAAGAACCTATATAATAGCAGGTACTGATCAGTTCAGTTTTGAATATCAACAATCAATGTATAAAAACCCTTACGACAGAAATACTTAGTCAAAAAGACATTAAAAACAACATGAAGAAATAGTTGAGTACATTTAGGCACTAAAATTCGAGAAACATTGAAACAATCATGTATATCGAAGTCGGAAAACCCTCTTGATGTGTTTCACCAAGCACTAATTTAAATCAAGCTTATTATAAAAAATCACAAATATCTTAGTTGATTTGAATAAGTATCTTTCATCTAATAATTCAGCTATAAATTAACCTCATGCGAGAAGCCAGGATATTTCAAACGACTCGTGCTGATAAAAAAACACATCTAGTAAATTCAATGGATATAATGTCAGGTGATTAATAATGATTAAAACGAATAGCTACTGTGAAGAAAATGTTGGCTAAATCACAATACATAAACTGTTAAATCTACTTTTTGATGAGCAAAAGTGTAAGAAAGAAGAGACAGTAAGGATGAGAGCAATGAAATCTCCAACATTTGCGTCACCGTTCCAACTTATAGTGATAATACCTAAAACAGCAATAACAATTGTCTTCCCTACCAGTTAGTTGTAGAATTATAAATGCGAAGGAAAATCCCAAAGTTTTAATATCAATATTTCGAAAATAACCACAATAGCATATGTGTAATTTCAGTCTGTAGCTTTAACGTCTAAAGTCAGTCTAATAGAGCTTATTTGAAAACGACTTTTTCTACACTGATCATAGTATTATACTTGGAATAAACAAATCTTTTATCCCTTCACCTAATAACTGATATCTGCATAAATTGTCATAAACAGTAAGATACTAAACTATGATAGTAACATTTAAAACAAACTATTTTATTTAATTTGGTAAATGCTAATTAATCACAATTTGAAGACAGTTATCATTGCGACAAATAGATTTTAGATGAAGAATCATAACGTTTTACTGTGTGTTATTTTTTAATTACACAAACATAGCCAATATACACTTCGTAATTTAAATATTATAGTCATAAATTTAAATCGTAATTGTCGTATCTGTGCTTTTCATTTAGAAATATATATTTCCTTATATATAAAGGCTGGTTTTATGACTATCATCATTTACTATTGGGAAAAAATTGTTGATTTTGAAAGGGATAGAATAATTAAGTGCAGATAATTTTGCTTATATATAATAGCTCATTTTAATTTTCCAGTTCAGATTAATTAATTTTGTTGTTTCTGCACAGCATTTACGTATATTCCACTATTCATTTTTACTGAAATTAAATTGTATATTTGTATTTGTGGTGTTCGAGATATTCCGTTCTTTTTTAAATCATGTTACTGGGCTATGGATTCATTTATTACTGCTCTCTCGATGATACACTATTCATCCCAGAAACACTGAAAAGAAAATAATGATTCTCATCTGATGTTTCACAGTGTTATAAGTTCTGTGATAAATGTCTTTTCAAAACAATCTACTCTTATATCTCTATCCACTACATATTACGCTCCTTTTTGTATCAACTTAATCATGACCGTTAACCGGCATGCTTTCTGTAATTTATTATGAACCAATGATAATATAAATGATGACTATAAATTTTGTTGAAACGAAATATGTAAAACAATATAATCAATAATAATAAGCATTACAATATAATAATAAAAGAGCAGATTATTGAACTAATTAACTAACTGACCCAACCAAAACGCTTTGTCGTTGAACTTCCAGTATAGATGGATTCGGTGTATAGATAAATGAAAATGAATGTGATAGATAAGTTAAAGTCATATCATGCATTATAACTAATGATAATGATATATGATGTTCATCTTCTATTATCGTTGTTGTTTCTGGTGTTATTGATGTCTTATTATTGTCATCATAGTAAGAGTTTACAAATGATGAATGCCGTTTAAATTGTTTTTTATTTCTCATTGTATTCATTGTTTCTTTAAGTAATGGAGTAGTTAAACAAACAATTAATGTTTCAGATTCTCTAGTAAAAAAATTTAAAACATTGAATTATGAATGAAGTATTCAAGTAGTATTTCACAAAAGAAATACAAAACGAGAAATATCTGTGTTAAGGTATTATAACAAAACAACAGTACATTGAGCAGTTTTACTTAACAAAGGATTGTCAAAAATGTAATGAAAAATTACAAAAACAATCAACACCGTACAATTGTGGTGATATTGTATGACGATAATAGAGTTTATCAATTATTAATTAAATGAATAATGGTTTGACTTAGTGTTTTTTTTTCTGACTAGTGGACCAAGTCAAACTAATTAGTCTTTCTTATCTTCATCATGAAATATGCTCACTGTTTAATACGATTACGCCTATTTACGATTAGGACAGAGAGAAAGATTAGGGAATGAATATGGTAAAATGTATATCCAAAAGACGTTGACGCCATCTAACGCGTAACTGATTAGAAAACAAGCACATGTAGTAAGGAAACATTCATTCAATAATTTTAAAAAAATTTTGATGAATAAACATTTAATAATTAAGAATGAAGAGTAGCTTAAACCATTTTATACATTACCTAATGGCTAGTTATTCATCTAAACTGGTATCCTAGAAAAAGATGAATTGGAAATTAAGATGTTGTAATTAGGTAACTCGACTAGGAATTAATTAATAAAGGCTGATATCATTATGGGGTGCTAAAAGTTTAGACGGAACATTATTAGAAAAATTAAAGAATAACGTTGTTCGACATATATTGTGCAAATATATCACATAATCCTGATATCCTTCGTCTTCTCATTGCATTAAATGTTAGTATTTGTAATTTAGTACATAACACAGGATACCTAATGTATAATAAAATCTTTAGATGGATACAGTAGCATAAAATGTAAGAAAAAAACTATAAGAGAGAACACCATATAAACATTAAGTATTACCAACATAACTGGATCCGGATGAAGGTGAAACAAATTTTAAATTCTAAGGATAAAATTTAGAAGAATGAACAATTTATACGAAAATTTTATGAATGAACGCTAAAATAAAAATATATTGCTGAAATCGATCTGAAATGTTTAACAAGAACACTTGGATATACTTTAGAACTGATATGCCTTAAACAATTTAATATTATTCGTATGCAGCTAGGTCAATCGAGTTTCTAATACAAAAACAAATACTGTAAATTAGTGTTTATGATATTTGCTAGCATCTGGATTGAAATTTTATTTGTATCAGAAAACTTGACAGTAGTTCATTGGTCATTTATAGACTTTTGTTTATTTTGTAAAGAGTTATTTTATATCTCCAATACAATGATATAAAATTTTGATATGATGCCAAAGAATAAAAAGACAGATAAAACAATAAATGTTTTGTAAATCTGTCAGTGAATGTGATAGAGGGATCCCAGTATACTTCAAGTTAAAAAACCATAAAATAGTAACAGATTATTATTTTCCTTTGTCATTCGTATTATAATGCAGCAATTAATACAGTCGTTATGTCTACTTTGATACAAGCTGACATTTCGGACATTAAAGTAACATGAATATACACATTTATGAGCAACAACTGTGTATGAAACTTACTGTTCTATTTCACATTTCACATGAACATCAGATTCTGAAAACCTATCTTGATAAGATTCATCACTTGTCCCACTGATTGTTGGGAGATATAAATAAACAGCGCGTTGCCTCCCAATGTTTAGGTTAGTACCTGATAAATATAATCTTGTTCCACCTGCTTTAGGTCCACGGTGAGGTGTGGCATGTATTAAATGAGGAACAGCGAAGTGAAAAACAGGTGAAAATGCCTAAAGATAAGTGAGAAAATATGATTTACTTGACATAATATTTTGGCAAAGAACATGAACAGACTATATATATGAGTAAAATTAACACATTTAAGTAAACTTTGTTAATAGCTATAATTCCAATAATATTCAAAGTAATATATAATGATCCATTCTATTTTTAAGAGGAAACCGACTGCACTATTATGTAGGGTAGGTAGGGACTTCATAAATATATATGTAGTGGACGAGAACACAGGTGGGGACAAGCAATTACATTTAACTACTAAATTAAAGAAACTCTTGGTAAGATATGAGAACCATACACTGAATACTTCATTTGTAAATTTCTACTATTTTTCCTTCACATTCTGTATGATTTTTTACAGTCCATAATTTCTTTCTATTTTCCCTTCTATTCTCTTCAACTCGATCTTCTTAGTCTTCTGATGCTAAGTTTTTCACTTCCGACTGGTTACATACTACTTATGTCTGTAGACAAAAGTAGCATACACCACATATTTATGAGTCGATTTCATCGTTTTTACGCGGTAGTTAGGCTATGCATAATTTGATAGAATTAGAAAAGATTAATCGTACAGATTGATTCATTTTTCTATATATTAACACTACTCACTTCATATCGTTTATTGCTTATCACAACCTTTAATTTGCCAGAAACAGGAAGTGATAAATGAGGTGCTGTAACAAGCTTACACATAAATTTATGTGAACGTTGATATGTTTCCGATAAAACAATACATTGAATTTTCGATTGAAGATCCAAAAAGACATCTACTATATCAGATACACTACGACCCAGATTTCTACCAGTAATAGTAAGTATCGGTTGTCCTGTCAAAGTGGCATTAGTTGGGGAAAGCTAATTGTTGAAGGAAAAGCAAAGAAAGCGGATGAAGATTTAAAGAGCGATCAGCGAAAAACTGTCCCATGATTAATAAGAAAACAAACCAAAATATAAACTACAAATATATAAATAAAAGACTATGAATGGTGAAAGGAATTTTATTGAAACTATGAACAAATCTCAGTCAGTCAGTAACAACATAGAACTTCGTACGTACGTACATCAGTTCGAGTTGCCACACCATCTTAGCACAGAGATGCAGTGGTCAACTCAAATCCCGTAGTGCTAGATGTAGTAAAATTATAAGCTGTAATCAAAAAAATTAGGGTTTGAAGATGTTATTCAAGGACTATAATCCAGTGAAATAAATTTGGAAAGAGAAAAAAAGAAAGGGACATGAAGAAATCAGAAGATTAGAATTTGGGAGAACACAAACAGTGGATGCACCTGCGCCATTGCAAACGATTTTGAGCCATGTCATTCAAGGTCCCTAACCATCGGTTGCTTTCATCTCGTGGTCCCTAACCAGGTAGTTTACACCTACTAACATGACTCAGTCCACTTGTCAGTGATTTCATGAACTTGTGCCATGTTTTGGTCTGGCCGCACCTAGCTTTCTTCCAACCTACTTCTATACCACTGAACATAGCACGTCGAGGTAGTCGGTCGTTGGGCATACGTAACACGTGTCCCAGCCATCTCAACTGATGAAGTTTCACCACTTGGTCAATTGATTTGCCATCCTTACCTAGCACCCGTTCTCTAACAACTGCATTACTTACTCGATGGTCCCAGGATATACGAGCAATGTTTCGAAGACACCTATGATCGAATACTAGTAACCTACGAATATCCTCTACTCTTACCGGCCATGTTTCACTGCCATAAAGAAGGACAGGACGAACTGCTGCACAGTAAACACGTCCTTTGGTTGATAGACGGATATCTCGCCTACGCCATAAATGACGCAAGTTGGCAAAAGCTAGTCGAGCCTTCTGCATCCGTGCTGAGATTTTGTCACACACCAGACCACAAGGGCTGATCAGACTTCCAAGATAAGTGAAGCGATCGACACGCTCAATTACTTCACTCCCTATCATTAGTTCGGGTGTCAATGCAACCCAATCCTGAAGCAACATTTCGCATTTCGAGGGGGACAATCGCATCCCGAACATACTTGCATTGTTGCTTATGTGCTGATAAGAAGACTCTGCATTTTGTCAGCGTCTTCACCAAATAAAACTATGTCATCATCATATTCCAAGTCAACAAATGAATCTTCCAGGGAAAGTTCAACCCCTGGAAATGTAGACGAGGAAAGTGTTATCTCTAAAAGTACGTCGATGACAAAGTTGAACAAGAATGGAGAGAGTGGACAGCCTTGACGAACACCACTTGAGGTAATCAATTCTGATGACAGTTCGTCATAAGCTCTCACTCTACCAGTTGTGTTCGAGTAAAGAGCCTTTATAAGGTTAATGTACTTCTTTGGTACTCCTTTTAGTGACAAACACTGCCACAAAACATCACGATCAACAGAGTCGAATGCTGCATTAAGGTCGAGAAATACTACGATTGTGTGGCGTCTGAACGTAAGTCTATGTCCTAGAACCTGACTTAATGTTAATATCTGGTCTATAAAACCACGTTCAGGTCGAAAACCAGACTGATTTTCTCTAGTCTGCTCTTCACGAGCTTTGGTTAGGCGTCGAAGTATTATTGAAGCTAATATTTTAGACACTATATTTGTCAAACTGATTCCTCTGTGATTGTCACCAGAGGACTTTTGTCCTTTCTTATAGACTGGCACAGTCAGTGATTGAGACCAGTCAGATGGGATTACGTCCAGTTCCCAAATCCTACCTAAGACCTCGGTTAATCTCATTGCTAATACTGGACCACCATCCTTAAAAATCTCAGGAGTAAACCTGTCAGGGCCTGCTGCTCTCCCTCGTTTCAGATTTCCTATGGCTTTTTCAACTTCGTAAAGGGACGGAGGACCTACATTAACTTGCCATTCAGGTAGACTAGAGATCGTGGGAAACCGAAGTGTGGCTGAAGGCCAGTTGAACTGATCCCTAAAGTGTTCTGCCCATCGATCCAATCTCCTGGATTGAGAATGAATAATATGTCCATCTTTCTCTGAGATTGTTTCGCTAACAGTCGGGTTCCTAAAACCGGTTCCCTTAACGAGTCTGAACAATTGTCTGCTATTACCTATTGCCGCTGCCTTTTCCATCTCTTTTGCTTTTGCTACCCACCACTGTTCGCGATCATTGCGTAGACTTCTTGTCAGCTTGCGCTTAAGCTGACTCCGCTCTTCACTATGTTCAGAGCCAGGTGGAATGAGTTTCCGAGCATCTATCAGTGCGATAGATGCTGCTGAGATCCAGTGTTGCTCCCTAACCTTCTGGTTTACCTTACTAGCAGATATCACTGCTGTTTCCACAGCTTTTCGGATATCATTCCATGCTGCCTCGGGGTGGACATCACATACATGGCTGCTCAACTGTTTTTCTAGTTGTTCCTGAAATATACTCTTAGCTTGACTGTCATTAAGTAGGCCCCTAAGAGGTTTCCTTAAAGCGTCTTTCCTACGTCCAGTAAGACGCAAGCAAATACGCGCTCGCACTAGAACATGATCTGAATCTAAGCATGTGCTCCAGAATGAGCGACAGTCTTCTATCGAGCCCCTCCATCGGTGGCTGATAGCGATGTGATCTATTTGGGTCCAACGTTGGGACGAATTAGGGGGTCGCCATGTTAAAAGATGTTTTTCCTTATGCTTAAAGTTAGTATTTGCAAGAAAGAGGCGGTTATCTGAGCATAACTGCAACAGACGGTCGCGATTATCTGTTCTTTGAGCCACGATGCTATAAGATCCACCCAGGCGTCTTTCCCTTTCGCTTAGTTTACCTAATTGAGTATTAAAGTCGCCAGCAACTATTATTACATCAGAGCGCCTAGCTTTTTGAAGGCCGGGAAGCTTTCTACAAAACTCATCTTTTACATCATCTGAGCTGCCGTCAGTGGGAGAATAGGCAGAGACGACGAAGAGGCAACGACGAGTGTCCCTATCTTTTCGGATCCTTACTGTTCCGTTCAGTCGGACAGCGCACAAACGACTGTCTACTGGGATCTGTTGTGTCTTGTGACTGCAGATAAGAGCGCAGCGTAATTATCGATCGGATCAATGACACGTAAAACACGCACGAACGACCTAGAGTCCCGATTAGGCCCTGCTTTTTTGTCTATCCCAGCCAGTTGAGTCTAGAACGCAAGTCTCAGCCTCTGAGTTATGAATCATTATATTTCAGACATACTCTGTTTATATACCAACCAAACAAACCGCATCGTACCATAAAATAGAAAACAACATTTGTACAATATTTAACAAGTGAAATAAATACTGACCAATAGGGAGTGTCCATTTAAAGTCCAAGGACACCATTAGACTTAACATGATAATTATTGGTATATCCTAACAGGATCCACTCTAAGAGAGGTAGTTCTGCCCTAGGACTCAATGCTATTCCTACGCTGGTGAGGCTACGGGAAGCAAAATCAGGGCTTCCAGATACACGAAGTGTGAATCGAGTCGGTTCTTTATTTTGGCATGGTGAGGTCAAACGAATGATGCTACTCGGATCCTGTATGCGCGTTTCGGAAACGCAGAACACATCGATGGCGCGGGATTCTAAAGTCCTAGTTAAGGAAGCCTGCTGTCCTATTTGGCACAGTGTTCGAACGTTAAAAGCTCCTACGTATAGTTTAGAGCGTGGTTTCAGGAGAGCAAGAATAACGTTCCGCGTACTCGCATCGTTTGACCTAGCGGTGCGAGGTGATAAAGAGACGTGAAGAGGGTTAGTCATGGAGATAAGAGAGGTATTAGAAGGTGTGGGAAGGATTTGAATGTGACCAACTTGGTCTCGTCTGCTGTTACGGGTATGAGGGCTGATGTCACTTCCCGGCTGCCCACATGGTGGAAGGGTATTTCTTGAGGAACCTGAAAAGGAAATTGGATTAGTGTTGGTCTTGACGACCTGGGAGCGTGACCGCAGAGCCCAAGGGACAACTGCTTGAGGCCGGTCAAGCACGGCCTTTTTGTGGAAGGTTTTTGACGTGTTAGCTCCGTTCTTCAAAGGGCCTTACCGCCGGGGACGGAAATCCGTGAGGTAAGGTGAGGTGCGACATTTTTAGGGTCGACCTTTTCTAACCCCACCCCTCCTTGTGGGAAGGCAGCATCGCTGCAGATGCTGGTTGTCCGAGGGAAACACCTTACTGTTGTCACACCCCTCTACAGTCAGCAGTACGACTTCGCCCTCAGACCTTGAGTTGCTGCTTCTAGTCTTACCGTTCTCCAATCGACCTGCCTGGCATGGTAGGACCTACAGGAACATATGTTTCAGCCAATATAGCTCGGTTGGGTCATCACGATAGGCAAGCCCGATCACCGCGTCAAGGTAGCAGCTTCGGTCGGGATGAACAAATCTACGTCAGACCAATATTGGAAACCCGGGAGCACTGGGCAGCCGTTTCGTCCTGGTATATGACTCCTCACCAGTGCGCATCAACAACCTCGAATGCTGGGCTGAAACCCAGGACTTTCGATCTCGTACATGAATGCTTCACCTCAGAAGTCTAGAGGTTAAATGTTTGCGCACGAGACTGAAGGTCTTGAGTTCAAAACTCAACAATCTTCACAATCTTTAACTAACAGAAGAAATTTCATATCTCCAATTTTAGAGTAATTCTGTTTCCAAAATCTCAAGAAAATAGAGAACCTCTCGATCACGTTTTGAATACTGACATATTTAAAATAAGAGATTAGTTAGATTCCAATATTCAGATATCGTGAGGAAATCCTGATTCCAATCATATTAAAAACTTGCTTAAAAATAATTCTCCCTTTAAGTTCTTAAACATTCAGTTCACAATAATTGATTTCAATGTGAATAATCCAAACGGAAGTTATTAAAAGAAAACAAAATTTTAAATGAAATCATGAGTAGCTAAGGTATTACAAAAAAGAACACCAAGTACGGTCTTTAAAAAGTCAAATAAGTGACCCAAACAACAACAAAAGGCCTCAAAACAAAACCGGATACGACAACTAAGCCTTGACCGCGATGAGATTCAAGGGAGACTATCACTGAACTGGTTAAATAATCCGGGTAATGTTAAAATAAACAAAAAAACATAATCTGAGACTAATCCGAAAATGAGAATTCACAATACAAATGTCAAAACGAACCTTGCAATCGACTATTCGCCAACACTAAAGATATTAACAGGCACTTGAGAAACGACCACGAACAGAACACTACAATCACTACACGAACAGATCGACACATATGGCTATTAACAGATCACAACAAAACATATAAGACTGCAGAATGGCTATATCGCTATTTCATCCAACACATGCACAAAACACATAATCTATCCAAGCAACAACTCAAACGAACACCAGTTACCAAAACACATACTAGAAACAGCAAACAATCTGCACCACTGTCCATTCAAGGGATGTGACAAGACACTTCCTACACGCAAAGGCATAATAAATGATTGCTGCGTGATATATTGATGGTCAGCGATCACTGGACACGAAACTAGGTCAACGAACAAAACACCTACTACGAAAAGACTGTTGCGCCCCGGTGATTGTGATGTGCTTCTATGTACGCTTCTTCTCCAGACGGGTCTACTTGCTTCATCAACTAAGTTCGGCTAGAAAGGGTAACACTAGGATAATTTCTTTCTTTATAACTACTACAGAAATATAAATACATTTAACTCCAATAGGTAAATATCTGCTACTTAGTAGGGTTTTTTATATAGCCAACATAATTAAGACATACCAAAGCTGAAAGAACACATTTGAAGTTAAATATCTGTTCTCTATAACTTACAGTTAGGATTTCAGGATCTGGGCAGACATCACCCGGACGAAAAGAATGCTGACGTACAGCTGCAGAACCATTGAAATATTTACGTGTAACGCATGAATTCTGAGTACGACATTTGCCTTCATTTAGTATGCTTTTATTCTCATAGTCATTAATATGGATATTTTCCTGAGCATAAACACACCAGCCACAACCAAATCGGGGAGGAAGATCTAAACATTCATCACAGTATTCGGCCAACCATTCGCATGCATAAACCTCCACTGAAACCAAAACATAGGAAAAGAACAAACGTATGAGTGACACAATAGTTATAGGATATTATTTTTTTAAAAAAACAGAAGTAACCAGTCAGTGTTAGTTTACGTATTAGGTGGTAGGCTGTTCACAAACATTTGAAATCACACTCATCTGAACATAGAAAATATGTGGTTTGTTTGTATAACGCTTATATCAGAAAATAATATAGTGAGTACATACTACTGCTACATGCAACTCATTTTGCCAGAAATATGACCCAGAAAATGGATACGAACAAATCTATGGGCATGAAATAATTAAAAAATTAATTACCCAAAACAAACCACACAGAATTTCGGTATGGATTTTACCCTGTGCGCTGTATTAATCAACAATGTTTTAAAATCAATAAAACAAAGTAACTGACCTTGAACTTGATCTTCGTTAACCATACGATGGCCTTTTGCATCACGACTGTTCAATCCGTGCCAATAAAGATCTAAGCCACAAATTACAGCTGTATCATGTGATCGTTGGATATCATTGTTACTTAGCAGACGAGTACTTAAGTGTTCGGTCAGATTCATCTAATGATTGGTAGATTACAAAATTTGGACAAAGTATAAAATACAGTTAAGTTTTGATAATAAAAGGGTGAGTAGTACAGAGAATATGGTGAAATGAGGATTGTATCTCATATTCAAATAGTAGAGTAATAAGTTTGCATTATCGCAAAAACAAGCAACGGAACTACACTGAAGTAGGTAAAAAAACAAATTGGTTAAATATATCTAGTGTAAGACATGAAAATAGGTCCATTTGTTGTATTGTATTAAGTTTTGTTAAATAATATACTTTTAACAGGCTAGTATAACACAGTAAGTACAAACTCATGAGAACAGGACATCACTTAATCAACCAAGATTATTTACAACTGGATATTTTACTAGAAATAATGTGCGTAACGGAAAATTATTTAGCTATTAACTCAATCATAACGAGAACTCATTGTGATATTAAAAAAATACTAAAGTAATTCAAAGAGATATTCTTTCTGACGATACTAATTACTGAAGCTTCACAGCCGTATTTGTGATTAAATGCCAAATAAATTGTTGATGTCAAATAAACGAGGATTTTTAAATGCCTTTTCTCACTCACTCTTTGATTTATCTCAATTCCATTGACCAAACATCTACACTATGGAAAATAACTTGATAATCCACTTTGTTAATATCAAACTGACTTCACTGAGAATGAAAGATAAAAACAAATGATGCTTGATAATACCACCAAAACAAAAACCGTCAAAACATACATCGATAAATTAAATTAAAATGTTTAATAAACATTAAGCTGTCAACGAGTTCAATTGGATTAATGATCAACAGAATATTATCTATACAGTGGAATTGAACAAAGTAAGGATCTAAAATTTTATGCAGTTCGATTAAAGATGATAATTAATTCGTCCATTTAAATGCCCATCGATAAAAAAATTTAGTAGTACTATGGGGCTATCTAAATAAAAATCTTTTTGCTGTACGAAAAAAAGTCTTTAAAATGTTTACAGTATACACTGTATTTGTAATTTGATAAAAAAATTTGCTATAAAAGACAAAAAATAAATTAATCATACCACTTCTATATGACAGAACACGGTTGAATTAGATGGGTTAAATGAAGCACGAACGTGTTGATTTGTACAGTTTTCTGAGCAACTAAATCCAACAATTTGTTGTTTCTATAAAAGAATTATAATTTGATGACATAAACGAAAATTAGCTATTAACATAAAAGACATTGCTAAATACGTATAAGTTAATTACCAGTAATTAGTTAATATTTGTTTTTAAAAATGATGTGCTTCTTTTAATAGATTGAACATTAAAGTAGAGAACTAACATTTATAATTAACAAGATCAGAGTATCTTAGAGATTGGAATAAAAATATTATAAATCCTAGAAAACATTATTACAGGCGAATTCAATAAACCAGGAAGCAGGGATGATTTATTAATTTATACTGTTAAAAGGTATATCAGTGACACAGTTAATATTTCATCAGAACGAGTGTGTATTATATTACTGTTTATTTCTTATCAAAACTGAATCAGATTTTGGTGAAACGACTATTTACCTTCACAAAAACCAATCGAAATTAAAACTAATATTACAAATATGGTACAAAATATTTATCGACTTTTATTAATTGAACAGGTTTTGAAGCTTAGCAAGATGGTACTAAGTAGCTAACAACTGTGAATAGAATGGCTCATATAGACACAAATGTTTGCGGTCATTACAATAAAATTATCTGAGGCATAATATTTCATAAACATTGGTCTAGCTTAACAGCCATTGATCATTAGTATAAAAAAATGTTCTCTTTGTAAACTTGTTGACTATTTTCATTGTTTGACCTATACTTTTTATCCAGTTAACAGAATAAAATCTTTAATTTATATTCCCAAATGGATTTATATTATCTTAGAAAGTAAAACAATTACCAACAAGATCGGAGATGTAATAACCAAAATAGTTAATAAAAATAAATATCTCCTAAGCAATTGAACACAACCGATAAAAGTAACCAAATACACTGAAAGTTATGATCACAGGTTCTTAATGCAATAGAATGAATAAATTTTTTAGTTCTTATTATTTTAAGGTTAGTAACAAGGAAACAATAATTCATAGCTCAAAATAAAATAACAGCAGTGGAGCTGGGCAATTGTAATTAAAAATAAAAACAGTTGATAACAGTCCAATGAATTCTTATCATTTAAGGCATGTATAAAGTGTTCTATGATGTGATGCAGAAAACGATTACAATCTTGATAAAGTAACACTGATCATTAAGACTAACCACATACAAGTGAGAAACAATTTACATACCTGAACATTCGAAACATAGAAGTTAACAGTAAGCGATGAACCACTAGTCAATGTGATTCTTTGGGGAGATCCCTTGAAACTTGGACAGTCGTCAGCCTATTGCAAATCCAAGAAGTGATAAAGTTACGAGAATAACAGGGAATAAACAAGTGCCAATTAAATTTTAACTAGCAAAATAATGTTGAGAAGTACAGTATTTCCCTGAAATTCGATCAGAATTAGAGAAAAGTTATTCTATAAAGATTCTGGAACTTTTAAATAGCGTGCATAAGGTTGAATCTGTAGTCCTGAGACAGACACTATTATTGGTTGAGTCTTGAAAATATATCGGTATTTTTTTTAGAAATACTGACACCTTTATCACTGGTTATTGTTAGGAAAATGTCTTCGTTTTTTTTGTTTCCTCAATTGTTGGGGGCTGGGTTAAAACGATTGTTGATGACAGTATGAACTTCCGTTGTGAATCTTCTATGTTATCACATTGGGATTTTCGGATCACGTAGGAAATAACAATATATAGTAGTCTGAGCTGGAAAGGTGATGAAATCAACCTAAATAACCCATCAATTAATGATATTAGGCGTATAGATGGCTTAGAACTCATAGAATTTAAAAGCATTTTGATTCCCATTAAGCCTTTGTTAACCAATAAACATAAATGTGAATTTCCCGAATAATTCTTGACTTATTCAATAATATAGTTATATTTACTTTAAGAAAATCATACAAAAAAATCCAAACCAACTTCTACAAATGGTGTGAGAAGTAAAGAAAATAATAAGATTTAAACAAATGTTATCAAGGTATATAGTGCTATTTTATTATATATATTCGCTTAGCACAGTTCTAACTATTTGCGTTTGTTTACTAGAGAATCTGTAACTTGTTACGTAGCTCAAAAAGTGTGCTATGAAGTTGGTTTTGAATTTACGAATACGTGATTTGAGTGGATAATTAGGCATTTTAAACATGATACATATATGTGAATATCGTTGCAAACAAACATTAGGAACTATGAATAAATTTTGGCCATTTACTTACATGACCAGGAGGAATAATACCAAATGGAGGATTAATTTGTTCATAAGATTTAGAGTAAAGATGAGAAGAATCTTTACACACACTATTTGTTATTTGTCCATCTGGTGATAATGTTGGAAAAACGGGGACACATTGATCTTCAAATAAACACCAAGCGCATACAAAACGACTTCGTGTACAAGACTGACAATCTTTAAGTTGAGAACAATTATAAACAGCAAATAAAGCAGGTGCAAGTGCACCAACATTATCAGGATCTACATCAGTTGTTCTTACTTTTTCTAACCATAATAACAAAGGTACAGAAGCTGTAAGTGGAAAATATTTCAAACAAAATGGTCAATCAGGTTAACTTTAAATTAATATGAACTATTACGACTGATCTAAAAAATGATACAAATTAGGCAACTACTCAAATAAAATATTTGTGGTCAGGTTCACCCATATTGTCATTAATAACATCAGTAGTACAGGGATATTTTCTTTTGAAAATACAGACAATGTAGAAATAATACTCATACACTTCACCCTAACAACAAAGGATATCAACGAGAACTTTCTTAATATTGCTTTAGTAGGGATGAGAGCTTTTGGATAAAAAATCTATTAAGTGCCATCTAATTCCTTATGTATATGTTTGAAAACTTCAATGTATACAGATTAGGTAGAAATAGTTTAAACACTCATACAAACACTTTGAAGCTCTACTATAGTGATAAACAGACAAAGGAAGATAAAATCCTAAACATGGTTATTTTTCTGGTAAGAAAGTACACTTATGAATATATTCTTGTAAGAAGATTATTAATGTGAAATATTAAACAATTCTTAAATGCATTAAGCTATTACACTTGGAATAACACACCGAAATGATTAATAACAATGAAACGTAAAAATAAACAAACAGGAACGTGAATGAATAGGCAACAGAAATATGAAAGGTATTCAAAGTTTAAAAGAAGACAAAGAATAGAACCGTTTTTATGCATTATACATTATAAACTATAGTTTGAAAAGAATAATATACATTAACAAAAAAATATATCTAAAGAGAAGATGAATTTCCGAATTCATCAGTGAATAGAGTTACTTTTATCTCTGATGTTACAGAAACTTTCGATTAGATCCATGGTAGTGGACATCTCAGATGAACACTATCCAATGTTTTACAAGATAAGAATTTTACGTAGTTCACTACACGATTCCCTGAGTTCAAGTAAACAGACTTTAATGGTGCACTTGTTTGGTTAGACGGGGCAAAATTTCACTTTTAGGTTAGATAATATGACTAGTTTGAGATGGTGATCACCGTTGTTTTCTTGCTGAGCTTGATGATGATGAGTTTACCCTAAGCGATGTCCGAGTCCGCTCAATTTTTCTTGCCTTATTCGAATCTGGCCTCAAATATGTTAAATCATTATGAGTCAGAACATTTAAATATACTAGCGTACTTATCCCAAACCAAAATGATATTTAGCAAATTAACTTTATTTCACCATTCAGTTATCCGAAACTGCATACAACAGAGAAATTTCAGGACTTTTAGGGAATTGTCCGATCATGATACCAAAATTACAGCAATCGTAGCTTTAAAACGTTTTTCACTTACCTTTATCATCCTTAAGTTGAGGTAATCGTGTTGTGGCTGGAGACAAGCAGTGAGCTTCTATAGGTTTTCCAGACGAGTAAAACAACTTGGCAACAGTTCTAGTGAGAAGTGGTGTACGTGTAACATTCAACAAAATTTTATTTAAATCAAAATTAGAAATAGTTCCAGAGATCAAGGATTCCATTTGAAGAACTGATGTTGGTGCTTCTCGAAAACTGCAAAACAACTGAGAGCTCGTAGCAATACTACTTTTATCCAATGATGGATGATGGGAATTCCCGAAATCGTCAAAGGAATTTATTTGATGAGGTTGATTTCTGGAAAGAGATTCTTCTGGAAAGTCAGAATTAGGGAGGTTCTGTGAAAGAAATGAATCCAAGCTCAGAATTATGTTTTGCTGATAATATTTACTGTTCTCCTTTGCATAAGTAACCGTTGGGGTTATACTTATTTGAATACCAGGCGGACTAACTTGTCTAATTACTGGGCATCTGTGGTGAAATAAATAAATAAAAAATAACTCCATTCAAGGAATTCGGAAGACGCTCACAAGAAATAATAGAGCATAACTGCCTTAAACGTATTTTTTCCACGCTAGCATATAGGGAAAAGTGGTCATCATTTGATGACTGAAGATGTTAATGATTGACCATTTGTTATAAATATAAAACGGGCAACAGCCACATAAATCAGAATCTATATACATCCTTGCATCATGCAATAATCATGGACAATTAAAAAAATTATTATTCTGAATGAAAGCAAAATAGAAATGTTAGAAATAGTACTTAGTAAATCTACTGGATTTAGCCTTAAAGTTAAGTCTGAAGCGAAGTTGTTAAATGGAATTTTTTTGAAATTTATAAACAGATGAAAAAGCCGAAGTAATATTTAAAGACCCACTTTGCTTCTGACATCTAAAAAGAATATTTGCATTACTCTGTCATTCAAATGTAAGTCGAAGAGCATTGTGCCCTAACGACGGCTCATACTAGTCATCAGTAGCATGTACTATTCGGTCAAGGCCATTATTATTGGAAAAACAATAATCACGTAGTATTTAAGTGATAGCGTTATATCCCGTTGTGTTTACCAATTTACATGTATGTAGACATACATACATATTACGAGGTAATCATGACTTGCAAATAAAGCTGGTTAAATATGTACTTAAATGGCTACAAAAACAAAGTTCAATGCTCCAACAGGAACAGACGACAAAAGCCTATCTTCCTTCATTCCCATATAACTGAAATCGGCCGTTAGGCCGATTTTAACCCACGCTTCCTTATTTAGTATCAAATTTGACTAGAGCGAATGCTTAGGTTCGTTGAAGCTTTAGTAATACAACAACTCAACCCCTTTGGCTATTCAGAATAATGTATACTTGCACTATCAAACCGACCCTGGTAATACTGATTTGATGTTAATATTCAAAATGGTGTGATTTATAATTTTTCTCCTTATTATCTCCACTTTTCCTTATATTTTAGTTTGACTCTCATTTCTCATAGTTGAATATCTAAGTTGATGTGCGATCACTTCACGAAACATATTAAGGCCAGTATATATCACATAGTTCTAGTAAACATCACTTTGTCATTGGATTATCAAAGACATAAACTGTTTTAAGCACATCTACGAAATGTTTAGACAATATGTCTTCAGTTTGAGTCAATTTGTTTTTATTTATGTTACTTAGAAATTTTCTGAAATTATAATCAAGATAAGTTAACTCAGCAACAGTATCTGTGTGTATGTGGAAGTATGGAAAGTTAGTCTAAATCTGTCATTAGACTAGTGTGGTGGACACTACCTACAAGATTGTTTGAAAGTATTATGTAGCAGAACATGAGGTCAAAGCTGTAACAGTGAGATTTTCAGTAAAGCAAAAGCACGGTGTAGGAAGGACACTTGAAAACCAGACGAGAAGACAGTTCAGATTGCGAAACACACTAAAAGATGCAAATGGATGACTAAATGTTATGTATATGTATTATGAAAGTACATTGTAAATTCTCAAAATATAGATTCTTCCTACTAATGACCTCCTTTACAATGGTAACATTTTGCAGACCTAAACTTTCTCAGTTATTGACAAAGAATTGTTGCAATTTTGCACGTGAAAAACGTTTGAATTACAAATTTACACATCATCAAGAAGCATGAATTGGCGATTCGTCCTTATATATATATATATATCCCCTAGGTGGATCCTCCATATCCACCAACTCAGAATGTCTAGCGCTTTAACCAGTACGAGAAAACGTTTATATTAATTAGCGTTTCATAATCTTAGGAGTCTACTGGTTCTTCAAAGCAAACTGCTCCATACTTATTGTGCATTTTTGGTGAAATTAGTTAGTGCTTATATTGTTTTATGGAGGAATCCAATAGTTTCAGATAATCAGTTAATAATGTGGACTTATTGATGATTTATTTCATTATATACAATGATATGCAATTAACATATGAACCGATATTCTATAATCGAATATTTCAACAAGACAATACAAAAGAAATAAGGATTAAACGTGACGTGATTCAAACTAGTGATAGCAATACACAAAAATAATAAAGGTAGTTTATAACTTTTATATGAATCCCAACTGTAGCTCCTACCTTGACAAGGTGGTCAGGATTCCATATCATGATGACACAGTTGAAGTATATTAACTGGAGCAGTTGTTCATTTAGATCTTATCGCGTCAACTAGGTCAGTTGGAAAGCGATATGACTAAAAGCAGCAAACTCGTGGTCTGAGGTTGAAATTGTACTGAGGACTGCATAGGGCTGTGACAGTATTAAGGTGTTTTCCTCAGACAACCAATATCCGCAACGATGCTGCCTACTTATAATGGAAAAAAGAGGCTAGAAAAGACCAACCTTAAGGGTAGTTCACGTCTCCTTGCTCTAAGGATTTTTGTCTCCGGAGATAAGATCATAGAGTAGGGAGCTAGATCGTCTAAAACTAATCAAAAACGCTGTATATAACCGACTTCACGTAGCTGTCCTTTGGGCTCTGAGGTCACGCTCTTAGGTAGTCAAGATCATCATTAACCTAGATTTTTTTTAGATAACTCATGAAGTATTCTTCCAGGACGTGAGAAACCGTGAAGTAATAACTGGTTTCATACTCGTAGCAGTACTCAGTTGTATGAATAAGAATTACAAGATTTAAATGATAAAACCGAGGTAGATTTCCTAAAATTTCTGAAACGGAAACTAACCAGTTGAATTTCAAAGAAATGATCAGTTTTTATCATACGGCATAATTTGAAGCTAAATATGAGTAATAACTAATTATATATATATATATATATATATATATATATAGAGAGAGAGAGAGAGAGAGAGAAAGGGAAAGCAAGAGAGTTGTAATGATTGTTACATGAAGAAATAACTTACTTATTGGTAGAGGTATTATAGTGTAACCAATAAACTCGATCCAATGCGGAATATTCGCTACCACCATACCTGTTTGGAGATCGTTTCTTTTTGAGATCATTAAGTGTTTTTACATGAGACATTGCTAAAGGACATTGGTGAAACAGTAAACAACGACCTTCTGCTATACACCAACCACAATAAGGATCACGAGCCTTTAAACATGACTGACATGTTAAGTACGCTGAACAGTTGAATAACTCAATGCGAAAAACCTAAAAATATTGAAAATAATCAACTTAAATAAACCTGGATAAGGAAACAACTTTAACACACTGTTTAGTAATAAATAAACAGCATAATAATTATAGGTATCACATTTAAATAAGGTGTACATGAAGTTGTAGTCTGTTTAATGTCGAAATGAATTTAACCCCTATTTTCCTCAAAAATCGAAATTACAAAACCAGATTTCCGAATAAGTTACACTTTAATTGTACACTAAATAAAAGTGAAATTTTTGTCAACTTGAAAAAAGATGGATCATATCACAAGAAGCATATAATTTATGAAAAATCTTCAATTAAACGCCTCGATTAACAAATAAAAAGCTAGTGCTGAAAAACTATCACAAAGTGTTCTCTTTGAAAAGGCGAATATGTTAAGTATTTCATTGTTACTTAAAACATTAGTCTAATATATTTTTTTTTAATTTTTAATTCCAGTTATTACCATAACACCCTTAGATGTTAATTGTGATTTTTGTCTGTTTGTAAACCATATTCAGGATGGACCATGTTGAACAGAAATGAGACCTTATTTATCTTATCAGATAGAGATCTTGAATAATCCAAGAAATACTAACCACCTTGTTCATTAAATTGAAGAAAAACGATAGTGTGAAAGAGCTACACATCAACGTCATCGAAAGATGGTTGCATAATGTTGCGAAATCATTGAAGTCATACAAGTACACTAATGGATGATGACTTAGTGATTTAAGGGTTCAAAACCCGTAGCGCGACATGATAGTCTTGGGTTTAACCCCCGGTGAGGTCGTAGGTGCGCTCTACTGAGGAGTCTCATACTGAGACGATCTAGGTGGTTCTTAATAGTGTCCTAAGTAAGATCAGTCTACGATATAAATTATGAAAATCGATAATGTTCATAAATCCCTATAGTAAAGAAGTTCCCTTTAGGTTTTTAAAGACCAAAATCGAAATATTTAAAATATTTCATCTAATAATATGGCATCAAATAATTTATTTACTTTAACAAGGCACAAATATTAATTAATGTTTCTGTGTATATATAGTTAGTAAATCACAGTAGTATTAACAATAGTCAAAATGAAGTTACCTAAGGAATAAGTAAACAAATATAGCAATATACCATATTTTAATAATGCGTTATTTATCAAGCAAGTAAGCTAGTAATCAAAATAATAAACTGTAAAATTGATAACATCATACGTTTAACATGAAATACTAAATAAAATGAGTTAAGGAAATTTGATCGGATGAAATAACCTTTTGAAATGATGTCGCAAAAGCTATTGTCCCAGTGTGGTCCAATGCTAGGCTTGTTATTGGTTGGCCATTTGTAACCAGTTGTAAAGATCCTAAAAGATGTACTTTGCGAAGACCAAGAAGCTCATACTATGGATCAAAAGGAAATCAGAAAAGAAATTTCGCCATAAGGGAGATACTAAGACTTAAATAAGTTAAGCTAGTATTATTTAAATAATAGCAATAAAATAAGTCATTGATGTTCCTATGCAATGAACTTGCAACCAAAAATATGTGCAGGGAATAGAAATGTTAACACCAACTGAGTTGAATAATTATTACGAGATATCACAAATTAATGGGAGTTGGGAATATGTATCATCGTATGCTAACTTAATGACTTAGTAGATAAACAGTCACTGAGAGCACTGATGGTTCTGGGTTTAATCCCCTCGGGTCGTAAATGACACTTTCGAGGACTCCTATAGAAGGAAAAAGCGACTGTTCAGTATCTGGTCTTGAATGGTACTTTAGTTGAGGTCGGTTCATGACAAATACCACCGATGGAAACAATAAGTCATCCAGAGTGAAAAGCATGACAGTAGGAGAAAATAATCGTCGACTGACTCAATATGACGATTTTGCATTAATTTGAACTACTGAACAAATAATAACATTGGAAATGTGGTCACAGCAATATCCGTTTTACATTTTGAAACTATTGCATGACTATCAAATGTAAAATAAGCCTTCAAGTGAATTGCTTGATAAAAAGTGAAATATTTATGTTGTTAGCTAATATTCACACAAATTAGTTGAACATACTGAAATAGTTTATGAATTTATATATATATATATATATATAATTTTCGTGAAACTTCGGTAAAACATATAGAACATTCACGAAGTGCGAAGGACTACCTATGGAAATGACACTTTCTTTAAAGAGCATCACGGAACTTAGTGATGTCCGTAAAGAATGCATGGATCACGAAAAGCCAGGACGACCGTCGATCTTTAGCGTTGGTGAATTCACAGTTTTACTGTCCGGACTATTCTGAATTCCAGAATTCCATCTGCAGATACAATTTTAGCAAAGTGTGAAATGAGATAGAGAAGGACCTGAGTCCTGAAGACTTTTAGGTTCAGTCAGCCACAACGTAGAACCTAGTATGTATGTATATAGGTTCAAGTCGACATATTCCATTAGCACACCGAGACCAAATTTTCAAGCCTAATCCCAGTAAACTAGGAATATCTTCTATTCTTGACAGCCATGTTTCACAACCACAAAGTAGAACGGGGAGAACTGCTGCGCAGCAAACTTGTCATTTGGTTGGCAAACGGATATCTTATGAACTAAGAGGCGCCTACATAGGAATCCATGTATTTAATATACTGTGACAGAAAATGTCCAACTCGGAGAACTAGTCGAAACGTTTTTTGGAAGATAAATGGTAAACAAGAATTGCTGAAAAAATACTTTCTTGAAAATTCACACCTTGATATACTGGATATTTAGGTTCCCAGTAGTTTTTTCGCTACAACAATATACATATTGTATTGATCTAAGCGTTTATTATTATTATTATTATTATTATTATTATTATTATTATTATTATTATTATTATTATTATTACTATAACAATCTGTACACAAGGAAATTAAATTTTTGAAAATGATAAATTAATGATGAAAGCAGTGTCGAGATTAACGATTAACCACTACTAAACAAATACAGATCACCTAATCAAAATGCAGCCAATATTGAATAATATACACGAACAAGTAAATACCTTGTATAGATAGCCATCATCTGTTGTAAATATTGCAACTGTGAATTCCTGTGATACAGCGGTTATTGCCATACCGGTAACATTAGATTTGAAGTACAACAATGCTGGAGAATAGATATCATCGTCTGGATCATTCCCTGTAATAAACTGATTGAGTTGACGACTACTAGGACAATCATGGATCAAATTCCTCTGCATAAAAAATTTAAAACAATGAACGATACCAAAATAAAATAGTTATTATCCTTCCAAATTACCCATTTATATATATGAAAAAGCAAATTTATATCACAAACAGAAACTAAGGGGAAAATAAATATTATTACTTACAGAATAATCATCTTTAACACATCTAGAATTTCCGCTACTTCCAGAATGTAGAAAATGTGACGGTCCATGCATTCCAATGCCGTCCAAACAATTCATAACGACACGATCAAATTTGGCATTAATCTACATTATAAAGGAAAAAAGCATCTTTAATTTCTTCTTAAATAAACAATGATTTATATGCATTTGGACAAAATTTCAACCGGATTATATATAGCAACATAATGATGAGTAGAAGAGGTTATTTGAAGAGAAAATGAAGAACAAACTATGATAAAATGACCTAAGTAACTACTTGTGGTATTTTGTCATAACAAATATTGAAGGATGTTTTTCAACACCAATCGGAGTTGTATTTTTTCAGAAGCTAGAACTTTTACGGAATATGATCATATTGAAAACAACTCCGTTGATCAAAGTTTAAATATTTGATAGGTTTAAAACCCTAAACTATATGGTTTAAAATAGGTTCGCAATTTCTTCCAAAAGTTTCTATCTACACCCAATAATCTTTTATAAGATTTCTTTCGACTTGAAATGGTGGACAATTACTAATAATGACAATATTGATTACTAGTCTCCGTTTCCGTGCTTGATCAGTGTAATGAATTTCAGTAAAACGAAATACATATGAATATTTTTATATAAATTGTTGTCCGGAAAATTTTAATATTAAATCAATCATTCTGAATGTTTTATTCCGTTTTTAGAACAAGGTCTAATAATTGTATGCAATATTAAGTAGATACAAGAAATAGACATAAAGAGAATGGAACTGTAGATTATGTATTTCAGTATCCACCTTTCAAATGTCAGGCCATGGACTTGAATCATGCTTCTCCAGTTTGCTTATCCTCATAGAACAATGGTGCATTAAAAGCACTAGTACGATCATTTGAACTTGGTTATTGGGATGTTGAAAGACACACAATACCGGACTCCCATTACAAATAATTATCTGTCGTTTATTAGTATGGGCGCCTACGAATTATCAGAAAAAAATGTTATTCTAGGTATACGTTTTCATAAAAATTCAAAAAAAAAGCAAGAGATATTTCTATATCAGAACATTAATTCGAAAGATTACGAATAATTAAGTAAAAACGAAGCATCAGTTATTTTGTTTTTATGAAAACGATGTACATAAAGATCAAAATGGTTTAAATTGTACCTGTGTCATAGAAAATAAGGAGATAGCAGAACCAGGCAACAAAATTGATCCATGTCGATATGATGAATCAGGATTGTATTGAACATTCGGCAAATCAATATCTGGACTAACATTGCGTGTAGACCAGTAATATAAAGGGTCAATAGGTTGTGAAGCAAACGCTACAATAAGAACTTCTGAATGATCATTAGTAGTTATATCAATTCTAGAATACAAATTATCATCATACTGGGACTGAAAGTTTTCTAATAATTCTCTAGCTAACTGCTTCCCAACAGTACCACGTGAAGAGAAATGTAATGCGTTAAACATCTATAACATAAAAAAATAGATTACATTGAGTTATAAAAATTAATTATTATACGTTTAGAAATTACTCGTTTCATTCAGCAACTATCAGGGCTGTTTGTTTTTATTCTTGTCTCTTATTGGTTGATTAAACTCATTATAATTTGTGTCTCAAAATTTGGAAAACATTATATAACCAACAGTGTTATCCACAGACTTGTCTTTAATCAAAAAAGCAAGAGCTGTTCTAAAAACCTTTCTTGTATTTTTGTCCTTGAAAAAGTCATCAACTTAGAGAACATAACACAATTAAAAGCATCCACATAGGTGAAAGAATCTCTAACATTTCAGTACTTCACCGTATTTGTTATGGAGAACTGTTGTAAACATTATCCTTGACTAAATGCTTAATTTTTAAAATAAATAAATCTACTTAGAGAGGCCTATGCTAACAGGTTGTTAGCCTACCAATTAACCTTAAAGTTATATTAAGATATAATTAGTCACCTAATGTCACTTAACACACGAAATGTTTTAATTATAGAATTTATTGAACAAGTTTTGAAGTACTGTCCGAAGAAATGATGTTGAGTAATATGACTACAATTAAAAATTTGTCAGTTTTCGTGAAAAAAAGACAAAATCCTGATTTTCTAACTTGGTCAAGCTTGTTATATGAAATTATACATTAATTATAAGATTAACCAGTTTTTCCTATAAAAACCACTGCAGTGAAATGTCAAGGAAATAAGTAGATTTTTGTTACTCAAGTAAGTAACAACTTTATAATTTTCTTGAAATTTCTCAACTATGCAATTAATTTCGGGTTTTAAAGTTTATAACAATGAAAAACCGTTGTTTGACCATATATTTAGGGTCAAGTTTAATTTCTGCGTACAGCAAGTTTATTATAGCCAGTTGGATGTTTCAATATTTGGAATAAAGACTTACATTACAATTTTCCAAGATAACTGATAAAATTCATCAGAAAATGTAAGTTGAATTAAGATGCATTTACTGGCAAATGGTACAAGTTTTAATAAATAAAACTTCTCTTTTATTATCAAAATACATTTCCAATGCAGTGATACCTTTGAAATAGTAATTAAACAACTGTGAGAATACAATACGGTTTCCTGACGGACTCTGTAGGAGAAATACAGATACGACAAATCTTGATAGTTTCGATTGGATCAGTGAGAATTAGTGTTCTGTAATAATACATCATCTTTGCATTTTAAACTGAAGTTGTTGACAAACAACTTGTCAAATCTTGAAATAATCAATGACTAATATAGAAAATGGACGAACTATCAACTTCAGATACAGAGATTTTCGATACGAAATTTTTCAACAGACGGTATTCAGTACCAAAACAAAGAAATAACAGATGACTGTGACCAAGAATTAATTCATGAATCTTCTATTAGAGTGAAAATTATTAGAATAGGAGAGCAAACGATCAGTTTTATTTAAAGAATGCTCAACCCATAATTTATGCAGACATTATAGTGAGTCAAAATAAAACCACTTCAACGTCAAGTCAAAGTCTGGGTCAGTGAACAAAAAATGATCGTTTTAACTAAGCTCACTTATTAAATATTATTACAAAACCATGAGATTATGTGTTGACATGGGTACGTTTTGATTAATTGACGAATATAAACGCTAGATGAAGATATGTCTATCTTAGAATAAGCAATCAATTTTGACAAAATCGATTTGGCACAGGTATGATTTATAAGCAAATCAATTCGTTCAAAGCAAACAACAACTCTAAATGGTTTCACGTGACTAGTTCACGTAGGTTCAAAATAAGCGAATCAAATGAAAGTGTGATTTTATACAAAAAGTTATAATAATTTGAAAAGAATAAAGATGAAAATATTTGAAAATGTTAAACTATAAGTAGTAATGACTTCCCCTCTAAGTAAGAGATGAACTGATTACTGACTAATTGTTAAAGAACTGGAAGTTGTAAAGCTATTTTAATTGTAAACAACTATGTGATACAAGAAATTATTCATTTAGTATACTTAGTGATGTTGTACTTTCTTTCAATAGCTGTATGGTAGACTAGGTTAATCTTTTAATATTGAAAGCCAGTAAGGTATATGTCGGTCTGAGTCACTGTGACGTTACAACGCTAGCCTGACGACCATGAGAGACCTCATGTACATTGCTTTCTTTCACATAGTTTCGTACCATGTTTATGAAACCTATCTTATTCAAAATGACAGTAATTGAAAGTATTATGCGAAATTATCATCGTGTGCACAGCATTTTCGTGTAATAATACCATTAATTTAATGTTGCGCTCTTATGTGAGTTTGGAATAATGGGGACCATCACTCAATTAGTGTCATATTCCAACTTTTGCTGTGGTAATTAAGACATTTTATGGATATTACAGGGGCTTATATACCAAGTGTTGCTTATCACCACAGAGACTAGATGGAAAACTTGGAAAGGTAGACTGTTTATGGTGCGATGCCGTGGAATTTAGGATATTTTACCAGGATTAGATCAAGTGATTCATCATAACTCACTGAACTGAGTAACTAATATCATCCAAATCATTGGTCTAAAATATTATCAGGTATCCAGGATTCGTATTTCGTCCTATTTGAGAGTCGTCAACTGGGTGTACCTGCATCTCAAAGTTGATTACCACTCTGAAATTCAGATCCAGTAACTTTCGTTTCGAATGTTAACGCGTTATCCACTCAGTTACAGAGAGTTTAGGTATACTATTCTGGTAGAAGTAGGAGACGACTGGGAACTGCTAAGACAATCAAATAAAGCAAATACAAACGACATAGTCATTACATTCTGTTCTGAATCGTAGGGATGACAAATCTTTCCCTGTTTGGTTACAAAATATGACCAAAAACGATACCGCTCAATCAACTGAAGCAACCAACATATTTATTTGGGGAAAATCAATATTGCAGTAGGTCATTAAGAGTGCATTGACCATTTAAAATGAGACTATCAACAGGTTACCAATTTTTTAAGTATACCTATATTCCCAAAATTGACAGTTTAGTCAAAAATTTGAAAGCGGTCAACTTCTATCATTTATCAATCGTTAAATCATACAAAGCAGATAGATTTGAAATTCAAAGAATGAAATATATCTACTTATGATCTAGCTAATTAACAGACTTTGTTGGGAGATACAGAATGAAAAAGTAAAACAGATGATAGAATCATGCAACCTACTGTTCAAAACTATTCATTGTGGGGACCTATATGAGTTTAGTAACCAAATTTTAACATTAGTTTATAGTAGTGTAAAAAGAGCCCATTCGGATAGTCTGATTAGATTACTTTTATACATCGAGAACTTTGCAAGGCTTGTAACCATCAACAGTATTGACCTCTACCTTAAGCATTTCTGTTTGTTAATAATTTTTCTGTACTTAACTCTATTTTCCAGAAAATGCTACGTCACAACCTAGATCATCAAAGATTTTATTTATATCTTGCCGGATATAGGATCAATTGTACGTTCTAAGCGATCATTTTTGCGAGTTATTAAGGTCAATGCACAATAATTTTAGATTATATGTATGATCAGACTGTTCGTCATGTACTGCGCTAACATATCACATAATTCTGATAATCTTCGTCTTCGTATGACATTATCCAAATTTTACATTACTTTGATAAAGATCTGATGAGTTATACATTTCAAAAAATGACTTCGTTTATATAAAAAATTGATGAATACTCACTTTTTCATCATCTTCAAATATACACTCAAAACATGCTATATTCAGTTCAACGTAAGAGGAAATAAACTTATCTCCGTCACACACTCGAGCTATTCGTGATTGCCACCGGAAAAAAGGTGAACTTTCAGGCTGCTGAAGAACGAAATATACATAAGCAGGTCTAAACAGCTGATCTTGGGACTCCAAATTAGTTGACATTGATCTGTATCGGAAAGCAGATTTGTATTGTATCCGTAAGCTCGGATTTGTTGACAACTGCGCTCTGCTTTCAAAGCTAGGTTGAGTACTACATAAGTGAAAGTTCTTTAGTCGCACAGTTAGTGGATCAAATGTAATGAGCGTGTGTTCTTGGAGTCCATCAGGCTCTGTGCCCACATAAATATATTCTGAACCAACAACTAGGACAGAATGTGTATAGGGAAGAGATCCAACAACTGGTATTTCTTGTGGGTTTTTACTTTTCTTGTCTACCAGTGGATTTCTTGTACCGATTGACCATGGGGATTCTTGACTGACATTTATCAAACCTAGCCTTTCACAGTATCCATGAAAGACAGTATTGCATACATATAAGCCATCTTCGAAGGTTATTCTGTCATCATTTACGAAATGAGATTCATGATCCCACTCAGAGTAGTTGAAACTATGTATTTCAGGGCCTGGAAAACCTGAAGTACCCCATGCTTTGACATAATTGTTAGTTGGATGGGGGAGACAGAAATCAGCACCATAACCGAAGGGAAACGATGACCGATCTATATGCATACACTTTTCACAGCTATCACCATTCGATAGACAATAGATGGAGAAGTTACGTGGACCAGTAATACGTTCTGCAACAAGCTGTAGTTTATCGACACTGAATTGTCTAATTGAATTCACACTTGCGACATACACAAAATCAAGATTATCAGGCTTGTAAAAACGGTAGAGCACACGCAAATTCTTTGATTCAGTTGTAGCCGGGATCGATGCATTATGACTAACCGTTAGATTTAAGACATGTACAACAAATTCCGTAAAAACAAGAAACACTAAGACCAATTTTCTTGAAATACCATACAGCATATGATCAGATGATGATTTTAAAATAATTGTAGCATTACACCATCCTCCTTGTTTGGAAAGCGTTAGAACATTAAATTATGAGGAAATATGTATTCGATTTCGCAGACTGGCATAAACATATCATTACTTCTCTGAGTAAACATGAAATCTCATGCAAATGAACCTAATAAAACGTAAAAAGGCAAATTAGGTAATATACATAAAACAGTTACAAAATGCTATACATTAAATAGATCAAAATAACAATTTTAGTAGTCGTGGAATATATGATTGATATATTTTTCTAAAGTTTACGCACAACTTAGGCACAGGTTACATAACATTAAATCTTGAAAAAATCACAAACCTGTCGTTAACTTGTTCATAAGAGAACTCCCTGTACTCTAATAAAAGTGAACTGTTTACGTCCACATTACAGAAAACATATTGACGAAAAAATCATTTGATTTTTCAATGGATTTCTATCACACATAGTCTGTGCTCGTGTATCAAAGGTAGGCTTGGCACCAGAATTGCATTATTATTACGTGAATAACAAATTTTAGTAAAATTTGGGATTTTTGGAGGTGCATTATTTATTTATAATGTATTCACATGTTGAAAAGAACAAGAGCAAAGATTCTAGAAGAAAAGCATGAATTCATTGTATTTCGTCGGTTCTCATCAGCTGCTTACAATCTGTGATATTTAAAATCATAATTACAAAATGGGTTCAAATTACTTACATGAAAGTGTTTAGTTAGAAGTTATGTTGAAGACATATTAGTATAGCAAGGGTGTAAATAAATTTACTAGACTGAATATTGCAAATATATACCTTATGTAAAAGAAAATTCTACAACATTGATTGTGACAACAGTTCAAACGGCCAGGAACAAATGGTTACATAATGAGTAAACGCTGACAGAAATAAAATGAGTAAAGCTCAGTTAATAAAATAAGATAACTAATTCGGAAGACAGTTGAAATAAAAACGCAATGATGTAATAAGTGCAAGAAAGAGTTAAAGGAAAAAGTTTAAGATGCAACGAAGGAATATTTGTCGCAAAGGCAAGGAAAGATTAATAACCGTCTCCTTTCGAACACATAAGTCAGATTTTTGACGCCTGATAGCAACTGTTTGAGCAAACATAAGAAGACTGGAGTTTGGCTGCTCACTGACCACCCCGAAAGATGGCAAGGTGTCGACTTGATGTCCCGTATCCAGATGTTTGGTGATTGCACTGTTTAAAATCTTTCTTTTTGTTCTAAGGCCTTTTGGAACATGCTCAAAAAATCGAAGATAAGCCCTCCTTTCTGTTCGGCCAATGTAGTTGCTTTTGCAGGTACACGTAAATGTATAAATACAGTTGACGGTAACATAGAAGGGGTGCTTGTAAACCTTTGATTGAGTTATTGAACATGTTTTATACAGAATTAATAGTTTGACTACCTGGTAAGTTCTGGCTAATGCAGTGTTCAGCCTCTTGCTGATTGTTTTTGCGACGTCATCACTTTTGAAGTTGAGATTTATATGTATTGGTTTTTTATTGACCGTAATCACTTCCGTCTTGTCTTCATTAGGTTTTTTTATATTTGTCAATAAATTTCCGTGGTCAGCAGTTGTCTCTTAGGCATTTTTCAACGTTTATCAATTCTCCTTCCAGTCTGTCGGTGGTACATATCCTTTCTACCCTATAAGTGTTTTAACCAATGCTTTCTTGTAACTGATTGGACAAAATCTATTGGAATTCAGGTAAAGGCCATTCCAAGTACTTTCTGGTAAACCGAACGTTGAACTGTTCTGTCTCCCCTACGTTTTATGGCAATATCAAGAAAGTGTAAAATGTCATTCTGTCCGTGTTTCACAGTAAATTGTATGTTAGGATGAGCATTATTGAAGAGTTCTAACAGGCGGATTGCATGCTGCTTATTGTTACACATTATTGTCACATATCATACTAAATATCCTGTTAGAAAATATATATGTGAAGTCTCTAGAGTGTAAGTAGTGAACATAGTTTTAAGTGGGTTTGTAATAGCTTCCCGTGTCTCTGTATTCTTTCTGAGAATTCGTTTACACCTCACATATATCACCAAAAGGATATATTACAGCTAATTTAATTGGATAAACGCATAACACTAGTTTTGAACGCTTATTTCATCATTACAGATAATGTTAGAGAACCTAAATATAAAGTCAACCACCAAGTACAAATTATTCACCATTAAAGCTACTGACAACAATTTTAAACCCATAATTTGGTGGTAGATTTGGCGAATTACCGACGTCGTAACTCTTAGTGGTGTACAGTTTATTTGTCTATTTCACGTTAATATTTCAAACTTCTTCACAAAACTAAGTATATTTACCTCCGTTTGAACTACGTAAACTATTTTTTAGCCAAAACAATTTGGCCGCGATCTTTTAGTCTGTGGCATATGAGACTAGTAGGAATTAAGATGAATGCAGTTTGGTTACTTCTTTATGATTATCTGCTGACAAATATCACTAACGTATTTACCCACATACAAGAGGATTTTCTGAATAGATTATCTAAGTTAGCTAGTAAGTCATAAGCAAAGTCAGAACCTGGCACAAATGTGTATTGGCCCAACATGCCATGCTAAATCAGCAGTGAGAAAGTAACAAGATAAATACCAAAGTACGAGAAATATGAGTAACGGTAATAAAGATTTGACTCGAGAAGGATGAAATTGGGAAACAAAGAGTATAAATTTTTTGGACTCAGGATCTAATAAGCAAAGTGGATGCATCACTTGAGCTGATTCGAAGCCATGTAACTTGATATCTCCCACCACTGGTCACAGTAGTCGCGCGGACCATGACCAGGTAGTCTACACTTAACAATAAAGCTCAAATTAGCATCCAATGACTTCATTAACTGATGCTATATCTCGGTTTGGCTGCACCTAGCTTGTTTTTAGCCCACTCCTAAGCTATATGACTGTGTCACGGTAAGAAGTGGCTGACGACATATAACACATGTTCCAGTCATTTGAGCCGAAGATCTACAACGTCATAAAACGATCTTTGTCTAGTACACTAGACCTGACCTTGGTGTTTCTCATCCAGTGACTCCATATTATCCACTAGAAAAAAATTCAATATACCCCAAGGTGCTTTTTAGTCCTAAAAACAAAGCTATTGAGACCAACTGATTTTTCTCGACTACACAAATTAACATGTTATATGGGGAATCCCGCTAACAACTGTTAGTCAGCTAGTTTTGGCACTTTACAGGATACAAAATAAAGCCAAGAAGTAGATAATAAACATATTTTTGTTACCTCCCAATGAGTAGAAAGGTAGTATTTCCGACGTTTCGTGACTTAATGTAAGCCATTTCTTCCGAGTTTATAAATAAATAGATAAATAATAAACGAAAAGCCGAGAAGTGGTTTATGAAAAAATGGAAAAGGTGTATTATTTGTCGAATAATGTTGACCAGAAGTTAGCAATCAAGAAGTATTTTAGCGCTAACGGATTCCCGAGAAGTATAAAAACCTTCATGTGGACTTAGTAGTAATGCATTTTATACGTTGGTTAGGGAAATATCTGTCCTTGATGATTTTTTATGAACATTTATGAAGTTGATAAACATAATTTCCCAGTCTCCATATTAGCTGACCTAATAGATTACAGGACCACAATGCAAATGCGAACTGTGTAGTAGGTTGTATAACAGATAAAGATAAGAAAGTGGAGTTGGTTTGGGTAACTGAAGAATAGTGAGAAAACTAGAAACCTATGTGCCTTAGCTCAAGAAGGTTCAGGAGGGAGTGTCAAACGACTTCACTGTAGCTTCATATAATCATAAAGGTGGATTATATCAAATATAGATCAGAGGAAAAAGAAAGGGTGTAGTATTTTTGTGATGGGTGGAGAAAGTCTCAAATGATCACTAGCTGCTATCAAAAGCCTCCTTCACTCAACATACAAACCATCTGCGTGAATTTGCAAATTATGGTCGGTGGTCTTTCGTAAAGGTGATTTTCTACAATTATCAAATAAAGTTGACGTGGGAAAAATCTAACAAAATCACATAATGATATTCGAAAATGCCCGGTGATGCCACTGAGTATGCCGCCAAAATAATAATAAGTACATAATTGACGGTACCGAGTTATTCACTGTACAACCGCACAGCAACCTGAAAATCTATCCTTATTTTCAACAACGGAAGATTTATGTAAACAAAAAGCGTCTACAAGTAAAGAATTAGACGTTTTCCAAATGACCATTGACTTAAGCAGTCAGTAACGACAGGCAGTTTTCATCTGATTATGCATAATAAAAATGTACTGTAAGAGTATTCAAAAGACTGGATCAAATGAAAGGTCTAGTTTTGGGGAGAAAACCATCCTTGTATAATGTGCTTAAATTATACGGTGTCCATCACTATGTTAGTCGCCTTCCATTTCAAAGGTTATCCGTTGATATAATAAAGTGTTATTCGTAGAATTACAGGGATTTGATTTACTTAAGTTGTATCATCTGTAGAATGTTTTGACAGATTAATGGAAACACAGGATGAAACCGATAACATTAAACACTGCAGACTAAACCCTCCCGGAAACCAAACCCTTTAACCTTCATGTTTTTTACACAGAAATGTAGACCAATATCAAATAGTGGAAATATAATGAAAGTATACACATTTTACCGTACTCCTTGTGAATTAAGTAACCTGTCTATATTTTTCTCCGACGATCTCTTAGAACTAACTGTTTACATCTTACGTAATTCAAAATACTATTATTAGTTTTAAGATTTTACTGAACATCGACTTCATTTTACCGACAATATTTCAGTAATATACAGAAAGGAAAATCTGTATGTCCATGGACTGACTCGTCTGATTGATGTCACAGAATATATACATTCAAAGAATCTTAATGACTTCTTCAGAAATTTTCATAAACCAAATATGCATTATGCACGGAAAGAGACCTGAAGCTATAACAGGTCCTGACCAAATTTGTGAGGAAGACGTTAAAAGTCAGTGTCAATGAAGTCTAAGAACCAGGAGTTCGCAACACCGATGCATAAAGTCAAAAATCAGTTCACTATGTGTGGTACCGTCCAGATATGTGTCAGATAAAGCCATTATAGAAAACAGCAGGTAGGGATTGTTTACAAATATTGCAGATGAATGTTTGCAACCATTAAGATCGTGCAAACGCTAAAAGCCTCTATTCATTAAGTCTTTGAACATAAAAGTTCACATAGAAACCAAAATGGAAAGCGAAAGTCAAATTGTGACACTTTAGTCGTTTCTTTAAGTTCATTTAAAAATGTACGAAAGCAATACCTATGCTCTATATTAGCACTATGTAATTCAGTGTACTTTTCGTACCTAACTGTATCATTAAAATTTTTAAATTGTCACTATTTCTATACACGAATGTCGCTCTTATCTCATTTGCTACTTTGAACACATAGTTAATCTGGATCTTTCGAATGATGGGGTGTGACAAATTTAGTGTTTTTTCTTGAAGTATATTACAAGCTTCATCACCACAAGCACAAACTGGGTTTAAGAACCAAACATACTATACAAGTAAAACGATGGGAGGTCTCAATACATCAAGCTGGTTATTGTCTAGAACTTGGTAGTCCCAACTGCATGGTTTCAAGTGCAAGCAGTTCATGTATTTTATGCATCTATATTGATACTTAAATTTCGAAAATCGTCCACGTAAGCGAAGGAATCATTGGAGGTATTTAAACGCCCTTATGAATACTACATGTCACGTATATTACAAATACCAATTATGGCAGAAAATGCCAACTTTTAATACTTTCAAACTGAATATGACCAGATTATTTGTATTCTATTGAAGCACTTTGTCTACAACCTTTAAATTAATACCAGATAGGTGGTGACCGCAAGTATAACTTTACTATGAGTTGCCAGTACCTCTGCGAATAATGAAAAATATTCCGTATGCCAGTTCCGAAAAATAATTCAGATACACTATCGAACAAAACTTTTAGCAATTATCTCGTATTTTAGCGATGGAAAAAATGTAGAAAATAGATTTCAAAGTTCACCAGATAATGGGGTGATAATTATTAGTTCGTATTAAAAAAAACAAGAAAATTAATACGGCGGATGACAATCTGCGGTATTTGTACGAACCAATGACTCCTTCGCACTTGACTCCCGTTAATTACGGATTTCAAATACAATTCGTTCACGTGTGTTCATCTAGTTCTATCTGCCTTAGATAGCACTAATTCAGAAATTCTTAGCACAATGATTGGAATACTTCCAATCATCATACAATTGGGTTACACAGAGATAAGTCAAGGACTTGATAATCAGCAAGGCTTCAAACAATAGGGTCTTGGTGTACCAACTTCCAAATAAATCCGTAATTTACTAGTTTTAAGTAGTTTTTACCACTCTTAAGTAACATGTGCTTGAACTACCACTGGGATTAAACAATAAGTCAAAAAATGAACATCAGTTATGATCATGTATATATAGGGCAATTATTGTGAATGAACGCACAAGTGTCCACATGAACAATAGGGTATCTTGTTGTAAATAAATGTGGTTATATAAAATTATCCTGATAAACATGGGAGAAAACGAGACAGGTGATGAGGTTAAGTGGTGTGAAAGTTATATAAAATTTCGAATGCACACAACTTACAATGGAAAATTGTGGATTGGAATAAACTAATGATATACAATATCTAATATGAGTAACACAGGATACAAAGACTACACTGGAAATAAAATGCCCTGTAACAGAAATATTCCAAAAAGTTATAACATGAGGTTTTGTCAAACGACGTGAAAATATGAGGCGACTTACGTATATATATATATATATATATATATATATATATATATATATATATATATATAACGCGACGTTACAGTTGACCAAATAGAAGAAAAGTAGTAAAACGCTCGGCATGTAAATCGTCAAAATTATAATAAGAGTTCTTACCCTACCTTAAGCATGAATAATTTCGAAATAATACACGAAAATGGTTGACACACCAACGTACGTCCAGCGGACGCGAAATCGGAAACCTGAATTAAAAGAACGCGGTTGAAGCAAAACTATACAATTTTGACTTAATAAAACATCAAAATTGCTATGATACAATATTACGTTTCAAATCAATAAAAATAAGGCAACAAGATTTCGTGGACATTTGTGTTCAATAAAAACAGATTGTAACCTGAGTAAATGGAAATAATCAGAAACAAAAGTATGTACTGAACAATCTCCCTATTTTAGGAAATATTGGGGTTTATGTGCCATTTCTTCAAAATTTCTCAAGACGTTCCTGTAGCAGCTTCCCCAAAACCGGTAAAAGTTTCCTCAAAACAGGGAGATTGTGTGACGATCTATTGTGAGATTCCATTATGATTCTGTTGATGTCACAGGTATTCAGTGTTTGACAACGCTTCTACCAGTAACACCTTCTAATATATTTCGTTCCCGCCCAGAGAAATCAAAAGACAGAGTCGAGGAGATCGGAAGAGTATATTTAGCGATGACCAATATATCGGAATTCTCTGATCTAATCTGGCTAGCGATTGTGGTTGATGTTGAGCACGGCGTTACCACACGTGATCTGGTGCGGATGCCTGACCGAGCGCCTTCAGCTAGGTGAGTCCACTAAAACATATGGTCAGCATCCAATGTCGAAAACTTACAGAGCTATTTATTTTAGGGATTTATTTACCGCTACAGATCACTCCCCCCCTAGTGGGGCAGTGACGACCCTAAGACGTGGCCAGCCAGAAGTTTAAACCCAACGAGTTTGTCGTTGGTAAACACTCTTCTGATAGCTTACTAAGTGTAGCAGCGTCTGGTCGTCTTTCCTTACTATATGGGACCGAGGTACAACATAGTAAAAAGAGAAAATGTACAATGAAAATTTCGGATCCTCATAAACGTCATCGTTCTTTTCCAGCCGTCCTGGAAAAGAAAAAAGAAAATGTAAGTGCATGTCGAAATACACTCGTATGTGCGTAAAAACACAATGTCGGCGGAGAAAAAATGGAAAATAAACTCATGAACACGTGATAACATTTTAAAAAATTGTTTTTTTTTTGTTTTGTATTTTTTTAAATAGAAATAAAAATATATAAGCATATTAAAATTGTTTTTTTTTTAAAAAATAATATAAAATGTCGAGAAGTGCCTTACGTGCAATAGTCGTTTAAATGTTCTGGAAATCTCACCCTTCTTCCAGAACGCGTCGTTTTAAGTTTATTTTCGGATACTGTCAAATATCATCGTGTGTGTTGGTTGTCGGATGAGGTATTATAAGTGTCGGAGTCGTGTCGTTCGATTGTACCGAAGGAAAATCCACGTAGATAGGATTTCCTTCTAAATACGCTGCTTTTAAGCGATCGATGCTGATGCTATCGTTGGTTCCGTTCTTATCGACTATATAGTACTTAGATTCACGTTGAAGAACTTTGAAGGGTCCTGCGTATGCTGATTCGAATGGTCGTCGATGCGAGTCTCGACGAACAAAAACGTGTGTATTATATCGTAAGTCAGGTTGAACGAAAACATCAGTTGATTGAGGTCGAGTGGAAGCAGGTTTAACTGAACGCATTGCGTTTGTAAGCCTGTTCGTGTAGGAGGTTAGATCCATGTTCATTGAAGAGGATGAAGGATCCACGAATTCTCCTGGAAGTCGAAGTGTCGTTCCATAAACGAGTCGAGCCGCAGTGTATCCAATGTCAGCTTTCACTGCATTGCGGATACCTAGTAAGACGAGTGGAAGAGCGTCGGTCCACTGTGAAACGTTTGCAGCTGATAGCGAAGCTTTCAGTTGTCGGTGAAAACGTTCTACCAACCCGTTTGCTTGTGGATGGTAGGTGGTCGTTCGGAAGCGAGTGATTCCTAAAAGTGTGGTCAGACGACGGAAAAGATCAGATTCAAACTGACGTCCGCGGTCTGTAGTGATGGTTGAAGGGCAGCCGAAGTTTGCTACCCATCGTTCGACGAAGGTGCGGGCCACTGTTTCAGCAGTGATGTCCTTGATAGGTACTGCTTCTGGCCATCGAGTGAAACGGTCTACGCAGGTTAAGAGGTAAGAGTATCCATTTGAATCTGGTAAAGGTCAAACCAAATCCAGATGAACATGGTCGAAACGAGCATCGGGAGTTTTAAACGAGCCTAAGGGACATTTATTGTGTCTGATAACCTTAAATTTTTGGCAGCTTACACAGGAGCGTGCCCACTCCCTCACGTCTTTATTCATACCAGGCCAGCAAAACCGTTCTGCTATAAGCTTGATGGTTGCACGAACACCTGGATGAGAAAGTTTGTGCAATGCATTGAAGACATTGCGTCGATAATGTTTCGGCACGATTGGGCGATCCCTACCTGTAGATGTGTCACAAAGTAAGGTTTCCTTACCTGTTCCCATCTGTTTGATGCGTAGTTTAAGTGTTGTGGATGATAACTCGTGCTGAAGATCAGTGTCTTCTTTTTGGAGCTCGGCGAGTTTAAGAAGGTCGATTCCTTGGAAACTGTTCAAGGAAGTTATGCGAGATAAAGCGTCTGCAACTACATTGTTTGCTCCAGAGATGTGTTGAATGTCTGAAGTAAACTGCGAAATGTATTCCAGTTGTCGAGACTCACGGGGAGAGTACTTGTCTGTAGACGAGCTTAGCGAGAAAGTGAGCGGTTTATGGCCCGTGAAAAGAGTGAATTCACGGCCTTCGATATAGTGTTGGAAATGCCGTACAGCACAATACATAGCTAGGAGTTCCCTACCGAATGTGCTGTACCTCGATTCGGTGTCTAGCAACCTTCTAGAGAAAAATGCCAAGGGTTGCCAGGAGTTGTTAACCCATTGTTGTAAGACTCCTCCGATTGCTGAGTCGGATGCGTCTACTGCGATGCTAATGGGTTCTCGGGTGTCCTGATGTGCGAGCATTGTTGCTTTAGCAATCAGTTCCTTAATTGTGGAGAATGCTTTTCGTGCGGTGTCGTCCAAATTAATGGATTTCGCATTTCCACGAAGTTGGTCGGTCAGAGGTTTCATGAGTAATGCGCATTTGGGTATGAAACGTCTATAGAAACTTACCAGGCCGTTGAACGTGCGTAATTGCTTGACGGTGGTCGGTTCTGGGTAATCCAGAATGGCCGCCACTTTGGTTCTAAGGGGTCGGATACCTTGAGCATCGATAGTGTGTCCCAGAAAGTCTAATGAGTCGGTTCCGAATTGGCATTTCTGAACGTTTACAGTTATGCCATGACTTTGTAGTCGTTCGAAAACAAGATCCAGATGCTTGAGATGTGTTTCTCTGTCCGGACTTGCGATTAGACAGTCGTCAACATACGCGTGTACGAAGTTGAGACCTCGAAAAACGTCGTCTATGAATCTTTGGAATGTTTGAGCAGCATTCCTTAGACCGAAAGGCATTCGCAAAAATTCATAGAGTCCGAAAGGAGTTATGATAGCTGTTTTCGGTATGTCGTCAGTAGCCATAGGGATTTGGTTATACGCTTTAACCAAGTCGATTTTCGAAAAGACAGTTGTACCTTTCAAGGTAGCTGTCAAATCGTGAATGTGAGGCAACGGGTAACGATCGGGAATGGTTTTCGCGTTCAATCGCCGATAGTCACCAGTTGGACGCCAATCGTTGCTGTCCTTTTTAGGGACCATGTGCAATGGAGATGCATATGGGCTACTTGACGGTCGTATGATTCCTAAGTCCATCATGTGATCGAATTCGTTTTTCGCTAACCTTAGCTTTTCAGGAGCTAGTCGTCGTGCTTTAGAGAATACAGGTGGTCCTGTAGTCGTGATGTGATGTGTAACGTTGCTGGTTACACACGGTAATCTCGGTTGCGTTTCTTGTATCCTAGGATACTTATCGAGAAGTGGCTGATAGAGTGGGTCTATCATATGTTTAACTGTGACTGGGGATACTCTGCAACCAGTAAAAGAAGTTACGCAAACGGACAAATTAGTGTTTCCGTCTACTAGCCTCCGTTTGCGCGTGTCGATGATCAGATTGTGGTGTTGTAGAAGGTCCATACCAATGATTGGCATAGAAACATCTGCAACAACGAAAATCCAGTGGATGGGTTTGCGTAAACCCACGTTAAGGTAAACGTACCTTTTGCCATACGTAGCGATCGGTTTTCCGTTTGCCGCCTGTAAGTTAAAAGCCGATTCCTGAAGCCGGTCGTTAGGATTTGCTGGGAGAACGCTAACTTCTGCGCCAGTGTCGACGAGGTAGCGAACTCTCGTTGTCACATCTGTGACGAATAACAGACGGCTTTGTTCGCCGGCTACGGTTGCCGTTAACGCGTGCCGGCTTGAAAGTTTCCCGAGTCGTTTTTCGAGTCAGTCGGTTTCGTGTTGGGAAAATTGCAGGGTTTTCTGCAATTTCTGGAAAACTTTCCATACTGGTTATGACACCAGCACCAGTCGGGGTTATCTGTCTCTCGCGGTCTAGAGACAGATCGCTCACGAGAAATGCTTCTACGTGGTGTGCGCGATTTCTTACGGTCGGTACGAAGACTAAGATAACGCGTGAGTGTGTGACATAAGTCGTTTATATCATTCTGAGTCGTTTGAGGCTTTTCTTTGACTGAAAATACCTCGGTAGTAGATTTCGTAATTTCTAAAATGCGGTCGGCAGATGCAGCTAGCTCGCCTAAGGCGTTGTTCTGGAACGAGACCAGAACTGCTTGCACCTGTTAGGGAAGTTTTGACAAGAAGAGTTGTTTGAATAGACCTTCGTCGAAAGTTCTTGGGCCTATTACCTCTCTCATCCGTTGCAACATGTCTGTCGCAGAACCGTGTTGCAGGTCGATATTGTTGAAGAGTTGATCTAACCTTTGTCGATCGGTTAGGTCCCCTCGTTTAAGAATCGAGCGTTTTAAGATTTCGTAAGGATCGGAAACATCACTAGTAAACATACTAGGTGTTACGTACCTGTTGAATTCGCGCGGTAGTGCCTTGACTACTGCGAGGAATTGTGCACGTGTGTCGATCACGCCGTGCTCGTGGAAGTCGGATTCTGCGTAGCAGAACCAGGCTTCGATGTTGT